GCAGGGCTTCACTCAGAGCGCCAGGCATGGGGTGGGGGTGGGGGACTTCCCTGGGTGCCGCTGAGCCCAGCTCAGCTCTCAGGAGGTTGGGTTCTGGGGCGGAGCAACCTCAGCTGTGCAGCCGGCGTGGTCAGGGAGCAGGGAGCAGGGAGCTTGCCCGAGGACATGGCTCGCTCACTGCGGGGGGGGGGGGGCGCGGACTGGGGCTCGGGGAGGAGAGGTGCACCGTCTCAGTGGTCTGTGGCCACGCTGCCTGACACATGGCACCCGCCCGCCTGCAGCAGTGCTGGCCGGCCCTGCCTCCTGCAGGCCAGCAAGGCACAGGGCAGAGGAGGCAGCTTTACTGGCCCGGGAGACCTGAGCCCTGGGCGGGGTCACCTGCAGGCTTGCTTATCTGCACCTCTGGCCCTCTGGCCTTCATGCTGGTGGTGATGTGGCTGCTGACTGGACGACGTCCCTAGGCAGCCTGTCCTGCGGTCTGGGCTCCTGACACTGGGTGGCTGTGCTGGTGCCACCGCCCTGGTCTCGGACTTCCAGGGGCTGACGTGGCCACCATGTGGGGCTGGCGGCTGCAGGGGCCCTGTGGTCAAGGCAAGGGGACGCAGAGCCCACCTGTCTCGAGGACCGTCAGCATCGCCACGCCTGCGGGTCGTGGGGGTGGGTGGGGTGCTGGTCTGGTGGTCGTTGGGAAATCCCAGGAGCTGAGAGCGCTCCCCTGGCCACGGTGGGGGGCAGCGCCTCGGTTTCCTCTGTGCAGAGAGGCCAGGCAAGCGTTAAGTGGCGGATAGGAAGGGAGTCTGTCCCCGTGATGTTGCAAAGTCCCATGAATGTGAATTCTGGGTGATCTTGGATATTAATTGTGTTTTCCAAATTTAGGAGACTAACTCCTTCTGCCGAGGGAAAAAACAAAAAGACAAAAGAGGGAAAGGAAAACACCAGACAGTGACAGTGTCCGTTCTTTCTGTTCCGACCCGCTCGGTAATTGGCCAGGGGGTCGGGTGCGTCGAGAGCAGTGTAAAATTAGGGGGTGGACAGCGAGCGCGCTGCATCTCACCAGTTTCCTGGCCCGGAGCGGTGTCCCGTGTCTGCGCGCCCGCTGGGAGTGGGCAGCCCTGCGTGCTGGTCGCCTCCCCGGGGACGACGCCACCCTGGCCCAGGTTGTGGGCAGGCAGGCGGCGTCTGAAGTGGAGCGCAGCCAGGGGTGGCTGTCTCACTGGGGGGAGAGCGGGCCTTCTCGTCCACCTCGTGTGTCGGCCGTGATGCGGCCCCGGGGAGGGTCAGCGCAGAGCCCAGGGGACAGGGCCTCCCTTCTCGGGCCGCCCAGTGCCGGTCTGCAAAAGCGGGGTCTCTGTGGACCCGCGAAAGTAGGTTAGTTTACCAGGTGCTCTGAGCGGGCAGAGAAGTCTTCAGAGTGTTTGTTCCCCTTTTCTTACGCTTGCCGTTGCTGGGCAGCTTTGCAGCCCGGTGGACAACATGGGGATGGCGCCCAGCGCCTGGACACCGGTGTCCAGTGAGATGCCTTGAGACCAGCCCCGCGCTCCTGGTCTGGTCCGTCTCAGACCCTTTCCGAGTAGCTGTGACCCCTTTCAAGCTGAAGGTGTGTGCTGCAGTTGAGGGGTCACCTTCTCGACCTCGGTGTGGATGCCGGCGTCCGCACCCTGAGGCCTCCTGCTCTCAGGCCTGAGCCCGGAGCCAGAGCTGGCGCTATGCTCGCACGGCGGGGTGTGAGGTCTGCGTGCCAGGCAGGTCCCGCCTGAGGCTTTCGTGTTTCTATGGGTGACTCTCCTGCAGGGTGTGCCTTTCTGCCCCTCCCCGCGGGCTGGCCTGTCCCGTGTCGCCCGTGGGTCCTGGTGCAGCCAGCCCACCGCGGCGGGGAGGCTTCTCCCTGGGTCGTGTGCGTTGGGTGGTGTGCGTGGCAGTCAGAGCGCACACGCGGGAACGGGCTGGAGTCCCAAGTACGGCTGGTTGCGAGGTTTCGTTCTTGGGAAACAGGCCAGATGCAGTTGGGTGTCAGTGACCGAGGTGGGCTGAGGGGAGGACAGGCTTTCCGGGAAAGGCTTCCTTGCAGACGGCTGGCCTGCACCCCCGGGGTCACACAGCCTGCTCCGGCGGGGCGTGGCACTCGCCAGGGCTTCGGGGTCACCGTCCCCTCCGAGACGGGGGGGGGGGGGAGCAGAGGAGCTTGCTGAGAAGGTGGCTGCTGCTGTCGCCTGTGGGCGTGGCCTGGGCACACACAGTTCCAACTGGTCCCAGGATGCAGAGGGAGTGGGGCCTGGCTGGCTTCCCTGGATGTTGCTGGAAGCCTCTGAGTTAGAGTCTGAGTAGGAAAAGTGGCAGAACGACCCCTTCGAGGCGACTGTGCTGCGTGTGTTCACTGCAGACGGTGCGAGCTGCTTCCTTAGCCCCAGCCTCGTGCCCACGACTGACCGGCTGGGCTGCGAGGTGCCACAGGCTGCTCTGTCCTCAGTAGCCTTGAGCGCCTGTGGTGGGTGGGGAGCCCCCGAGGTCACTGCTGCTTGTGACCCAGGGGAGGGCCGGAGTGGTGGCTGAAGGACAGCTGGCCTGGAGGAGGCGGGCCGACCCCAAGCTGGGCTCGGGTCTCCGACCTCCTCTGTGCGGGGCTGTGAGCCCAGGGCCAGCAGAGCCGGCACGCACGTGGTCCTGGTTGGTTCTTCCAGCTCCTCAAAGTGTGAACTGGGAAGACTCCTTACATCCTCTCCCGGGCTTGTCGTTGAATAGTTCCGATGCACGTTGTCTAGCGTGTGCTGGCCCTTCTCTGTCTGTGATGCCGGCAGTCCCCGAGGGGGACGTCAGAGCTGCTGCGGTCACGGCCACCGGCCGCTGCTCTCCGGGAGCAAAGGGAAACAGTGGGAAGCAGCAGCGTGCAGACCGGCGGGGCGGCACCTGGGGGCTGAGCCTCCGGGCCTGGGGCTCTTTGCCTGTGTGGGAGGCGCCCCACCTTGCAGGTGAGCCGGTGCAGGTGCTGCTGGGGTCAGGACGACAGTCACGTAACAGAAAGGCACGCACGAGACCCTGACCTCACTGACAGGTCTCCCCAAGCGTCTGCGCTCCGGCGGGGGGGCTGGAGCTCGGGGCCGTGTGTCAGACTGCAGGGAGCTCCCTGTTCCACAGGGACGGGCACGGGGGGCGTGGCTGCCTGTGGGTGAAGAGGGATGCCGTCTTTGAGTGGCACACGTGCACACAGGTGCACGCACATAAACATGCGTGCCCACACACAAGCACGCACACATGCACACACACAGCCCCTCTCCCCTGAACTCCTCAGAGGTCAGGTGCAGACCCCGCTGCCTCGCTCCTGCTGTGGACGGGGGGGCACATCCCCTGCGTGAACACGGCGTCCTGGTGCAAGCAGGGCTCCCCCCACGGAGGCGGCCGTCTGACCCAGCAGATCATCGCCTTTCCAGCCGTTCCCCTGTCCTCTCCTCACACCGGGGGGCTCCTTGGAGGGCAGGCCAGTGGTTTTCCGGAAGGCCCCTCACAGTGGGGTCCGGGTTGTGCGCTGGTGGCAGAACTGCCCCGGGAGCGGTGTGTCGGCAGTGCCTTGCCCGCGGCTGTCCCGGGTTCAGACGGTGCCACCAGGCTTCCGCACGTCGTGGTGCTGCTGTTCGCTTCTCCGTCGAGAAGATGCTTTGAGACCGTGTTTGGGCTTCCCACGGCCTCCCACCCGGAGTTTCCGTGGAGACGGAGCCCCGGTGTCCTCTATCTTCACGGGTCGTTGGCGTTGCGTCTCAACACCCACTCACTCGTTTCACCCCGCTGCGGACATGGGCCCTGTTTTGCCAGTGGGTCATCAGTCCATTCCTGCCCTTGGTCGTTCTGACACCCAGAGTCCCAGACTGGCAAGCGGGTGCCCCTCTCGGCTTCTCTGTGTCCTCGTGACGGCCTTGCCAGGTTTGAGCACCACCTCAAGGGCACAGCACAACCTCCTAAACTCATCTTGTCCCCCTGCCCCTCCCCACCCCAGTCAGCCCTCATCTGGGACCTTGCTTCGGGGCCCTGGCTGTGGGCAGAGCTTCCACCGTGCATGCCGCCTTGGCTGGCAGTTTCCCACGAGGTTTCCCACCGCCTCCACCCTCCTCCTGGTGTCCGTGTAGGCCCCTCCTGCAAATCAGGGGCTCGGACCAGCCGCCCCCGCCCCCTTAGTATGGGGAGGACTTCTGTGGCCTTGGTCGAGGCCGAGAGCCCGCGGGGCTGAGGCCTCCGCGGCAGCCCTGGTGGCTTGGCCGGGCCAGAGCGGGGTTCTGCTGCAGGCTGGGCCACAGGTTCCAACTTCATTTCAGCCCTTGCCTGGTCCCATTCTGACCCGGTAGGCACTGGCCCTTCTGGGCAGGTGACAAAACCACGCATGCTCTCTGGAGGTGCGTGCACCTTCAGCCCACAGAGCACATCGGAGCTGGGGAGGTTTCCCGTCCTCCTGCCCCCCTGCGCGTGGGCCCCGCCCAGCACCAGGCCCGTCTGCACCCTGCTCAGCCCCTCGCCCGCAGGGTTGGCGGTGACACCTCGGCCTTCCCCTTCGCACAGCAGCTGCTCCTCTGGATCGGGTGATCTGGAGGCTGTCTGGGCGGGGCGCTGTGTGGGGCCCCTCGCTCGCTCCGAGGCTTTTCCTGCCTTGGTCTTGACCAAGGCCTTGGCCTTGGCCTCCTTGAAAAGGCCCCGTTCATTCGGCTGCCGCATACTTAGCTCTGTGCCTTGTCGGCAGCAGAAGGCATCCTGTGGGAATTCATAGCACTTACAGCCCCGTTGAAGCGGCAGCAAGGTCCCCTTGTGTGAGCAGTGTGCGGGCTGCCCTTCTCGGAGCCCGATCCCAGCACGCGCTTCCCTGGGCCGGCGTCCCGCTGCCTCCCCTGGAGCCGCCTGGTCTCCCCGTACCACTCTCGTTTGGTTGTGGGGGGGGCGGGGGAGGGGGCTCACCTCGGGGGGCCACGCCGGAGTCGGAGAGTCGCATAGCCTCCCCGGCTGACGATCTTTGTCTTCGGCAGGCGGTGCCCGCGAAGGGGGAGCCGAAGCCAGACTGCGGCATGAAGACCGAGCTGCTGGGAGAGGAAGGTAAGCCGTGGCTCCTGCCAGCGCCCCTCCCTGTGTGGAGAGAACAGCAGAGACTTCAGGGCCACGCGGGAGAGCGAGGCCGCCCAGCCCTGCCGAGTGCCCACTCGGCCGCAGACCTGGGCGCTTGCTCTAGGCTGGGGCTCAGCATCATGCTCCCAGCCACGCCACGCCGCGCTGGACGAGATGAACTCGGGGCTCGGGAAGCGTGCGCTCCCTGGCCGCTCCTGGCCTTCCTACGAGGTGCTCCAGGCGTGCTGCAGGCACCGCCTTCCTGCCTCCGCGGGCTCCAGGCCCGGGCGGCCTCCTTGGCAGGGGCCGCACGTCTGCCCTCTCTCCAGCCTGGCGGGGACCACGGTTCCCTCCGGCCAGCACCTGCGGCTCCTGTCCTTGACCGCCTCCTGCTTGGCCTGCCCGGCGGCTCCCTGGACGCTGAGCATCCTTCCACGGGCTCGTGGGCCTCGAGCAGGTCTTCTCCCCGGAGACGTCTGCTCAAGTCGTTTGCCTGTCTTTGACACGGGCCCCCGAGTTGGGTTGTAGACGCAGGCCCCTCGCCGGATGTGTGATTGGCAGGCACCTCCTCCCGCCCCGAGGCTTGTCCTTCACCCTTGCAGGTGCTCTGCACAGCGAGACGTTCCTGGTTCTGACGTCCACCTCGTCCGCTTTTCTCTGGTTCCCGTGCTTCTGGCGTGACGTCCGAGAAGGAAACCACTGCTCTGGGAGTGTTTGCAGGTGTCGTGTGGGCCGCAGGGCTCCAGGCGCACTGGTGTCTGCTGCAGGTTGCATCCTGGCTCCCGTGGGGTTTGACCGGGAGCCCGTTGTTCTGGCCCCTCGCTGCCCCGTGGCCTTGGACGGCTCCAACCACTCCGCACCGCTGTCGGCAGTTCGGCAGTCATGCTGTGGTCTTGTGTGTTGGTGCTTACCTTGCTGGGAGTTCTTGAAGCTTCTTTGTTCGCTTATTTTATCATCTCCATCAAATTTGGAAAACGTCTGACAAAAACATCTTGCAGCCATGGCTTCTTCAAGCGTGTGTGTTTCCCTGTGCCCTGCGGAGGAGAGGCGCAGGCTGCCTCCCGCGGCCCCGTGCTGCCGAGGGGCCGCGGGGCTTTCACTGGACGGGCTCTTCGTTTCCCCGGCGCGAGTGCCGTGGGGCTGCCCAGGGCCAGCGCCTGGCGGCCGTGTGAGAAGTGTTTCCGGAACGTGTGCCCACTCAGTGCGCCCTGCGGCTGTGGCCGGGGCCCCCCTTCTCCACACTCTTCCTTGTCGTCCGTCTGTCTGTCTGTCTCTGCCGTCGGTGGGGGAGGGAGTTGTGCTTTCTCACCGTGTGTTGGCTGCCTGAGTTTTGAGAAGCGTTGGATGCTGGTTAAGGCCACGCCTTAGTCTTCCTTCAGGGAGTTTTGTGCTTCCGGTGTCAAGTGTGAGGCACGCAGCCTGGCTCAAGGTCCTGGGGGTCTTTGTGTTGGCTTTCTTTTAAGCTTGAATTTACTTGGTTTTAGAGAGTGGAAGGGGGAAAGAGACAGGAGACAGGGAGGGAAACATCGATGTGTGGTTGCCTCCCACACGCCCCCTACTGGGGACCTGGCCTGCAGCCCAGGCCTGTGCCCTGACTGGGAATCGAACTGGCGACCTTCTGGTTCACAGGCTGGCACTCAGTCCACTGAGCCACAGCAGCCGGGGCTCTTTTTGGTTTTGAGTTGACTCTCCTGTGAGGTGCGGAGAGGTCTGCCCCGAGGCTCACGCTCACAGTGCCTCTCTGCAGCATCGGTCGCTGGTCCTCGTGGCTGCTTCCAGGTGCTCGCGTTGCTGGGGAAGGTGTCACTTCTGCTTCCTGAGCAGAGCGCTCCTCGCTCCGTGTCTCCCCCGGCCGATGCCCTGACCGGAAGTGCAGAGTCCTGTGGCGTGTGAGCGCAGCTGTGAGGGCTGACAGCTGGCCTGCTCGAGTGCGGGGAGCCACTCTCCCCTGTCGCAGCACATCCCGTGCCGGGCAGCGCCTGCGCTCTGGCGCCGGCAGGCGTCCTCCGTGCAGCTCTGCTCCGGCACTGTCTTCCCGCAGGTGGCATGGACCCCAGGTGCTACGGGCTCAGCCCCATGGACTGACCCGACCCGCCTCAGACGGCCATCCCACGCAGAGGGGCCGGGTGCCCACATGCCGGCCAGCTGCAGATGGGAGGCTGCCCTCAGCCCCTCTCAGACCGGGTGATTTTCTAGGGCACCCACTGGACTCTGGGCAGCACTTGACGGACTGTGAGCTGGGGGGGCATGGTGCAGGACGCGGCTCGGGAGCAGCAGGTGGCAGAGATGCGTGGGCTGGGTGTGGGGGAGGGTGCAGGGTCGCAAGGGTTCCCCGGCGAGGCCCCTCCTGGGCATACAGCCTGCAGTTGGGGGTTTTCCGGAGGCTCCCCGCGGGCGTGCCGCGCTCCTCGCTCAGCCCCCAGCTCCTCTCCGCTCCCCGGGCGTGGGTTCGGGCTGTGGTGCCCAGCTCTGCCCACGGTGTGCTTGCTGTTTCTAGGGACTGGGACTGCTCCCTCCCGGGAGCCCTCCCCCCCCAGCCACCTGATTAGAACAAAGGACACTCCCGTCACCCAGGAAGTGTGACGGGTGTAAGGAGCTCTGTGTCAGGACCCAGGATTGAGACCAGATGGCCGCTTCCTGCTCCGCCAGCCACCCTGTGTGAGCGCGCTCCCCTCTCTTCTGTCCCTGAGCTCCTCTGGGCCACACTGCTGTCTCCCTGCATCCGCCCTTGTGGGGACCAGGTTCTCCGACCGTCGAGGTCGGATTCCTCAAACTGAAGCGTGCGAGTGGATCAGCAGGTGTGTGGGCTGCCCCTAGGGGCCCAGCTGGGGCGTCAAGGCTGCCTGGGCTGCAGGCAGCCCGCCCACCCGGTCCTCCACTGCTCTGCTCTGCGAGTTACTTTGTGGTTTGTGAAGATGTCTTGTTCTGTGACTTTTGGAACGAGGTCATGGTGTTCCTCAGTTCACTGCACTGTGGATGCAGCCTCACTGAGTTTCTAGATTTACCATTTGAGGTGACGTCTTGGTATTTTGTTGCCCATTGAAGGTCTTGAGATGACTTAATTAAAGTTCTCTTCTCCACAGAGGCCTTGAGTAAAGTCACCAGAGGCCTTGAGACCAGAGGCTTTCCCCACCAGAGGTCTTGGTTAAAAGTGTATATCCCTGCTCCAGCTGATGTGGCTCAGTGGACTGAGTGCTGGCCTTCGAACCAAAGGGTCACCGGTTTGATTCCCACTAAGGGCACATGGCTGGGCTGCAGGCCAGGTTCCCAGCAGGGGGCGTGCGAGAGGCAACCACACATTGATGTTTCTCTCCCTCTCTTTCTTCCTCCTTTCTCCTCTCTAAAAAATAAACAAAAGGTCTTAAAAAATTGTATATCCTTTTAAAACGTTCCCTCCCTTTTGAATAGTGTCTTACTTTTCCTCATATGTACACGCTTGCTCACGCTGGCGCAGAAAGCACGGCCTCGGGCGCGGTGGGGTGCCCGTGTTTCCACCACTAGTGGACGGGGCTGTTACAAGGGACTGACTGGGAGGTGCAGGGCAGTCTGCCTCCCTCCTGTCCTCGCCCCATGCCTTCCTCCTCCGTCACCTCACTCTGTGTGGACGCCGGGGGTGCCCACGGTGCCTCAGGTATTTCTGGTCTTGAGGTGGGTGCGTTCACAGTCTCTGAACAGGCACGTTTGCCGCACACTGTGGTGCGTTGCCTTCTCCGAGTTCAGTCTCCACCGGTTCTGCCTGGCTGAGCGTTTTAAAGGAAATGGACGCCTGCTTTCTCGTGCGGTCTGTGTCCCTCACACTCGCCTTCTGCGCAGGCTTGTGTCTGTGCAGGGTGCAGCCGTGCGCATGTGCACAGAGCCCCGCTCTCAAGGCCCAGGGTTCGGGGGCCCAGCGGTAGGCGACCACCCCGTAAGAACGGGGGGACAGGGAGAGGTGGCCTGTGGTCTTGACGGAGGCTCTTTCTGCATCCAGCGATGCAGTTGTCCGGGGTGGTCTGCGTTCGCCCACTTGCCAGGGCAGGTGCCCGGAGGGTCTTCTGCTGGGACGTGCACAGACTCACGGCCGGTCCCGGGCGCCCATCGGCGTTGTGGCGGAGACGGAGCCCTGGTGGGGAGCAGGCCGGAGAGGCGCCCTGGCTGACAGGGTGCACTTTCTAGGGTCAAGCCCGCAGTTGAGAAACTGCGCCCGAAGCCTGTTCTCTGCCCGAGTCCTGCTCGGGGTCCCTTGGCCCGGCTCCCCAGCTCCTGGGGCGCACGAGCCTGTGCCGTGTGTCTCGGACTCTTCTGGGCAGCACGACCGGTGCTGCCGGCCTGAGACTGGTCCCTGCAGGCAGGACCGCAGGCCTCACCCACACCGCACACGCGGGGTGGATAGGTGGCCGGCAGGCTGGCAGGCTTTTCTTCTCAGGATTTGGCTGGTCTTCCCCACGCGTCCTCAGCTAACTTCCAGAGTTCACGTCCGAGTCGCTCCACACTCGGCCTGTTGGAACCGAACTGTCTGCACTCGGCACGCCGACTTTCCCTTAGACAGTGTCGACCCCCCCGAGGAGCTGCTGCCCTGGCTCAGGTGGGGTGGCGCAGGTGGGGTTGCGCGGGTAGGCGGCAGCCGCTGACACTTCTCCTCTGTTACAGAGATCTCCATGGCTGCTGATGAAGGCTCAGCGGAGAAGCCGGGAGGAGGGGCCCATGTGGCCGCAGACGGGGCTACCAACGGGTCCTCAGAGAGGAGTGACGCCAGCAGGCACGCCGGCGCAACCGTGCACACACAGGAGCACACGAAAGCCAGCCCGCAGGAAGGTCCCAACACACTGACCCGGGTCGCAGAGAACGGGGTTTCAGAAAGAGACACTGAAGCCGGGAAGCAGAACCACCACGTCCCAGCCGACGACCCCACACAGACGGCCGTCGTCGGGAGCAACGGCTACTTCCTGAGCAAGCCGGCCCCACAGGAGCCAGCTCCACGGGGCCCCAGCACCCTGGTGCCCTCCCTCCCCGGGCATGCCGCAAAGACCCTGCCGGCTGCGGCCGGCAGAGGACGGACTCCCAGCATGCTCTCCCAGATGCCAGCCGCCATCGCGCCAGCCCGGCCCGGGGAAGGGAGCAGAGACCTGGAGGACAAGAAGCCCGTGGCCCCCAGTGCCGATGTCAAGGTTCACAGGGCTCGGAAGACCATGCCGAAGTCCACCCTGGGCCTGGTAATGCGCCCCGTTGTGCATTCTGGTGTGCCATTTCCTCTGTCTTCCCTGCGGCTGCCACCACGGCAGGCAGGCGCCCGTGCGGAAGGGAGTGGGGCCGGCGCAGAGCAGCCGTCGTCCGCAGGCCGGGGAGCCTGGGACATGCTGCCCGCAGCTGGAGGGGCCATGGGGCCGGCAGCCTGCACGCTGCCCTGCTCTCCTGTGGGTGCCTGTTGCCCACGAGCCGGCGCCTCACGGATGCCGCTCCTGCTCTGGGCCCGGGGGCCGCCCTCCAGCCCCACGCCCACCACAGGAAGTGTGTCAGATCCACCGTGTCCCAGAGGGAGGGGACGAGGGACCCCACCGAGGACAGGTCTCAGCCTCCCTCCTTGTCCCAAGCCCCCAACTCAGGGGCGGGGCCGAGCGCAGCCCCCACTGTCCCGTGTGCCCTGGGCCATGCCTGCTGCGCCTTCTCTCTGCGCATCTGCGGGGTCGCGTCTGCGCTCCCGGGGCCGTGGGTTTGGGCTTGTGCTCGGCGCTCTCCTGTCCCCGGGCTCTCCCGTCCCGGGCACCGCCAGTGTGCGTTCGGACGCCGTCCGACCTCTGGGGTGCGCAGGCCGCCCGCACTGCCTCTCGGCAGCTCTCCCCGTGGGCCCTGCGGGTCTGGTGGTGCGTCTCTCCCGAGCCAGGAGCGTGGTTTGTGCCTGGCTCCTTCGTGACGTGGGTCTCGTGTCTCTTCCAATGGCCCCTCCCCAGGGTCCAGCTGTGACATTTTTGCTGGTCACTCCATCTGTTGACACTCTTAATTTCGGCAGGCACTGTCTTCGTACTCCGTGTTTCCAGGTAGCTCTTCTAATGAACAACAAACGGTGGGTGTTCTCGTGTTGTCTCACCCCTTAAGTGACGTTCGCTGCGGTTCTCCGCCATCTCTGTCACAAGTCCTGTGCCTCACGCGGGAGTTTTGTTGGAACTCGGCCCCTCCTGGGGGGCCGTTCACCTGAGCAGTGTGCGCACCGGTCTCCTGGATTTTGTGTTGCCTGAGTTCTGCCAGTGCTTCCGTTACCTTGTTGCTGGGGGGAGGTGCCGTGGCGCTGCACGGCCGGCCTGGTGAGCTGCCCCTGCAGCCCGGGGCTCCCCCTGATCTGCGCTCTTCCAGAGTAGCTGGGCGGGCCCTGCCTCCTCCTGGGTGGGCCTCGCCTCAGCCAGCCTGCTGCCCTCACCTGTGTCTCCTCCTTTGGCAGTGCTGTCCTGTACCTGCCACACTAACAGGCTTTTTAGTACTGTGGCCTCACGGATCCCAGGAAGCTGCAAAACCAGGCGTGTGGGATCCCTAGCGCACAGGACTCTGCTCCCACGGGCCCCGCCCAGGCCATGGTGTCCGTCCCCGTGGCCTCCTCGTTCCAGGGGCTTCTCCCTCCGAGCGGCATCCCATCCTGCCACCCGTGTGCCCGCCGGGCTCCTCCAGGCTCCGGGGCGCGAGTGGCCCTGTTCTTGGAGCTCTTGGCTGTTCTCCGAGTTCAGCGCAGCTGGGTCGTGTGTGAGGAGGCGCCGTCTCTGCTGGGAGGGCTCATCCCCCGGTCAGCCCGGCCTGCAGCCCGTGAGCCAGGGAGCGGGCAGCCGGGGCACTGGGGTGCAGCAGCAAGGGCCGGACTGTCGGTTTGGGTGCCTCCGTCCTGGGCGGGGTGTGCCAGCTCCCTGCAGCCTGGAGGCAGGCACACGGCAGGTGGGCGGCAGGTGCGCTCCTGGGGAGAGGCCAGGGCGTGGTGGGTGCCCAGGACCCACCCAGGCGGCCTCGGGGGGCGGCAGTTCTCGTCTCTCTCACCTATTCAGCTCTGTCACACAGTGCAGCCCTGACAAATCTAGAATCTTGGTTTTTTATTATTATTATTATTTTTAGATTTTAAAAAAGTACACCTTAAAGAATGGGTTTTTGTCCCTGAGGAGCTCGCTCTCAGGTGGCTGTTTCCTCTCGGGTTTTGCTGTTGCTCCCGCCCACGCCTGTGTCTGGGCCGTGTTCTGCACTCGTCCGCCAGCGCCCGCAGCTGTGGGGCACGCGACTGCACGAGACGCCGGCATGGGGAGTGTCACGCAGCGCAGGCCAGCCCCACCGGAATGGCGCTCGCTGGCCCAAGGGCGGGAGGGCGGGGGCTGAGGGTGTGGCTGCATTGGGTGTGGGAGATGGAGGGCGCTCCGGGGACCACGCTGCAGCCCCAGGGTCCCTCCCAGCTCGTCGCCGCCACAGCTGGCAGGGTGACCCTGGGAGATGGGGAGGCCTTGAAAAGAGCCAGTAAAACGCGTCTGACACGGAACGCACCGTCTTCCCCAGTTCCAGTGTCCGGCTCTGCGACGTCAGGTGCAGTCCCGCAGTTGTGGGACCACCACTGTCCTCTCCCGGACAGTCCGTCTTCCCGCACAGACGCTCCGCCCCCGTCAGGCACCCGCTGCCACCCCTCCCCCAGCCCTGGCCCCACCGTGGACTCCCTGTCTCTGTGGGTCTGCCCCCTCCAGGGACCGCGTGTGAGCGGGGCCCCACGGGACCCTCCTTCTGTGACTGGCTGCCTTCCCTCGGCACAGCGTCCTCACCCGTCGTCTGGGTCGGGGCAGGAGTCACAAGTCCTTCCTGTGTAAGGCCAAGTGGTGCTCTGTCCTGTGGACAGGTGTGTGGCTCACCTGCCCCTCGGACGCCCGCCCACCCACCCGCCCGCCAGGGACGCGGCCACTCGCTGAATGCAGCGAGTCTCTGGGACTCCTGGTCTCCATCGTTGGCGGTGTCGACCCGGGACTGGGGTTCTGCTGGGTCACGCGGCCACTCGGGCTTGGCGTCGGGGGCCTTCCTCGCTGTCTGCGCAGCAGCCGCACCGCTGCCTGTGCCCCATGCACCCGGGCGCCACTGTCCCCACGTCCCCTCGTCCTGTGTCTCTGGGAGCGGGTTTCACTCGAGGTGCGACAGGCAGTGTCCTGAGGGTCCCTGGTCACAGGTGGGTCAGTGGGTGCGAGGCGTTGTCCTGATGTGGCTCTGACTCCCCTGCTCCTGGGCACTGGTGACGGTCAGTGCCTTTTCGTGCGCTGGCTGGCCAGCTGGGTGTCTTTGGAGAAGCACTTATTCAGATGCTTCGCCCATTTTTTTATTGTGTTTTTTGCTGCTGTTGTTGTTGTTTTTTAGACAGAGAGAGACACACAGGCATTGGTTTATTGTTCCACTTACTCACTCATGGTTGGTTGATGTCTGTGTGTTACCCTGACTGGGGATCGAACCTGCAACCTTGGTGCATCAGGACAGCGCTCTAACCAACTGAGCAACCCAGCCAGGGCTGTTGCCTTTTACTGTTTTGTTTTGTTTTTTTTAAGATTTTACTTACCTATTTTTAGAGAGAAGGGAAGGGAGGGAGACAGGCAGGCAGGCAGAGAAACATGGATCGCTAGCCTCCGCCAGCCAGACACCTGGCCCCCAGCCTTCCAGTGTGGGGGCGACGCCCCACCCCCCGAGCCACAGCGGTTGGTGCGCCTGCTTGTAAACCTGGTCACTTGTTCTGTTGTCCAGTCGTACGGTTCTCCCGTGTTCTGGGCATCAGATCCCGATCAGACGTGTGACTGACGAGTGCTGTCCCCCACCCCTTGGGCTGCCCCATCTGCTCTGCCGTTCGTGCCCGTGGCCGCGCAGATGGGCGTCTGCGGTGCAGGAGAGGCTGCGTCATCTCTGCTCTGCTGCCGCCCGTGCCCCTGCTGCCACGCTCAAGAAGTCTCTGTCGCGCCCGACGCCATGGTGCCCCGCAGGTTTCCTTCAACGGGCCGTGTGTTTAGGTCTGGCCCTTTCTCGGTCACTTTCTGTGTCCACTGGGACGTAAGGGCCCGACCCGCGCTCTGGCGTGTGGACGTCCAGTTTTCTCAGTACCGTGTGTCGGAGGGAGCTCGCGCCTGCCCGGTTTAGCGCCCCTGCCGTGTGCACGGGGCGGTGGGCGACCTGGAGCCGGTGGGGTTGGCACCGTGGGACGACGGCAGGGCCCGGGCTGGACACAGAGGGGTGTCACAGGCGGCCAGAGCTGGGACAGCAGAGGGTGAGGACGGGTTCAGGGGCTCGACAGACTGGGCGCCGAGACGGGCTCTCCGCCATGCAGTGCGTCGCCGGGGGCAGCGCGGTTGGTGCAGCCCGGTCCGTGCAGCCCGGTGGGAGGGCAGCTCGCCGCCTGCGTCGGTCCGGCGGCTCTTCTCGGGTCGGGGCCCAGGGAGTCACTTTGGGTTTTGCCGTGTGCGATCACTGCTGCCCCTTCTCTTCCCCCTGAAGAAGGAAACTCTGGCCTCAGCTGGAGGTGCAGACCGGTCGGTGTCTCCCCAGGAGCCCAGCGCCACCCCCTCCCGCCTCACGCAGTGCCCGTCGCGGCGGAGGGGTCGCGGGGAGGAGCTGGCCCGGGCGCCCTGCGGCAGGGACCGCCGGCGCAGGCACTGACGCGCTCTGTTCTGAAGCACGCAGCCGGCAAGGAGCCCAGAGACGCCCGGGAGGCTCGAGAGCACGAGGAGCCGGCCGGGGAGCTCGGCAGACACGCGCCTGACTTCGGACGGCAGCAGCTGCTGCCCCCCTTCCCCCCCCTCCACCAGTCGCTACCTCAGAACCAGTGCTACGTGGCCACCACCAAATCACAGACAGGTGAGAGCCTGGCGGCCGGTGGGGCCGAGCGCGTGCACCCTGCCGAGCTAGGGCCGCGTCTGACGGCGGACGCAGGTGGGCCCTGGGTCAGTGACGCTGGAGCCGGCAGGGCCCCCGTCGCCTGGCCTCCTGCCAAGCCAGGTCGGGCCCCCGAGCTGAGCGCCCTCCCTGACCTGGGTTGCCCACCTGGGTTGCCCACCTGGTTTGCTAGTCGTCAGTCTCGCGTGGAGGTGGTTTTCGCCACTAAGTCTTACTCCCCGGTCTCGCTGTCGGGTGGGACCCGCGGGCTGGGAGTCCGCCATGTGCACTGGGAGACCTGCGCGTGGAGGCTGTGGGGAGCGGGGGTTGGATCCCAGCTCTGCAGACCCCGCTTCCCGTGGGCGGCCCCCATGGCTCCACGGCAGGGTGCTGGCGGGCACACCTGGAGTGGGTCAGGGGCATCCTCCCCAGCCCCTGGGACAAAGCTGTGGATGGGCAACACCCTTCGGTGCAGAGAGGCCCTTTGTGTGAGGCCCTCGTGCACGTGGGGTGCAGGCTGGCGGATGGGGGCCAGGTCAGTCCCGTGATGGGGCTGCCGGGGGCCGTCTGCAGGAAGGGCAGCCTGGGGAGGGTCAGTGGTCGCAGGCCTGTGCCTGCTCATCGACGCTGAGCCACTTTCCACGTGTGAGGGGTGCCAGACCTCCAGCGCAGAGGCAGGGGTCTGGCCTCGTGTCTCTCCGTGAGGTCCCGTGTCACCACCTGTTCGCAGCTGTGCGCCTCCTCCCGCTTTGTCTCTGAAACAGGAGTGGAGCTGCGGACAGCAGCCCCTTTCACCACTAAACGCGGCAGCGTTGTCCCTTAGAAGTGACAGGGTGGCGTCCCTGGGGACAAGGATGCTCACCTCCTGTGGTGCCGTGTGCAGCGGTGCCTGATAACGCCCTTCCCAGCAGAGCCGGGGTCCCAGTCACTGTAGGACTCCTGTGCGGGGTGCTGCTCTCCCCTGGGTCAGGCGTAGGTCCTGCAGCGTGGCCGAGGGGCTCAGTTCTCAGGGTGTGGCAGCTGTTTCTCCTGCCGTGATCCCCTAGCCACAGAGCCTGTGTCCTGTAGGGTGGCCAGTGCCGGCCTCGGGAGGAAGGACCTGGAGCTTCTGCTCTCATCCCACCGGGGTCAGGGGGCATCAGCGCCTGCGGACACCTGCCCACCTGACTGCCCCCAGGCGGGTCTTGCTCTGTCCCCCCCGACGGGCCCACTGGCTCTGCGGGGAGGAAGGACTGCCCCTGCTCCAGCCCCCGGCCCTGGGGTCACACGCCCTTGGGCTGGGGTCGAACCTGCAGCCTCACACTGGGTTAAGGGATGAGTGGTCAGGGCCCGTCTGCTTACTTTCGAGTGTGGCGGGTTGTCATGTGGTCCCAGGATTGCCCCGTGGCCAGGGGCCCTGCCCTTCTGCCCTCCCCGCCCAGTCCTGGATGGGGTTACTGCCTCAGTGCGCCCTTGGGGGCAGAGCAGCAGGAGACGGGATCAGCCAGTCCTTCTGTCCCCAGCTCCTGGGCCTCTTGGGCTCAGCGTCGTTCATCTCGGACAGTTCAGCCGGGTGCCCAGCACAGCCCTGTGGAGCCACGGCCTTTTGTGCTCGGACTGCTGGGCGGCGTCAGGGTGTTCGGCTTCTCCCCATTTAGCCTTAGGTTGTGCCATCTTTTTCATCTGGGTTTTCTGAGAAGACGTGCTCCGTGAGTTGGCAGTTTCCCAGCATCCTCTCTGCCTCCTCCTGGCTGGTCGAGGTCAGCAGGACATGGCTGGTCAGCATGCTAGTGCGAGGCCCGGTGCTCTCTGGTGTCAGAGACTCCCCCAGCCCAGCTGCCCCGGTGCTGTCCCTGCCAGGGAGGCCCAGGGCTCACCCACCCTGGGTCTACAGTGGTCCCCTAGTGAGGGACCCCCGCCCGGCTGCCTGGCCTTCGGGCCGGCCCTGCGTGCCTGTCCACCCGCGGGAGGCCAGAGAGGCTTCCAGGGACGGTGGCGGTGCCGTCCGCACAGTGCGGCCTGTGGGCAGCATCCTCTGGGAGCACCTCCGTCCGTCCCTAGTGTCCTTCAGGCCCCGTGCCCCCTCTGCCCTCGCAGGCTGCCTCCTTCAGGAAGCTCGGGGTGAGGTCGCTGTGGGGGTGGTCCCGGAAGGTCCTGTTCTTTCCCAGCTGGGCTGCACAGGCAGGAAGGATGAGCGAGTTCACATGTGGGTCCGAGTGCAAGCCGCACCGCCCCCTCACCGCCGCCCAGGACTGTGGGACTCAGGCCGTAGGCGGGGTGCCCCAGTGCTGGCGCCAGCCCCGCCCCTGCCCCGCGTGCAGTTGAGAACAGGCAGGGCAGGCTTCCTGTGATGAGGCAGGTGCGAGTCCCCTGCTAGGGGCCTGCTGCAGGGCCGCCCAGCGGTTGTCCTGGCGTCCTGCGTGCCGCCCCCCACCCCCCCCCGCAGGAGGCACCCCGTCCTCCAGCCCCGCAGCCCCCCCTCTGCCCCCTGCACAGGGCCTGCAGCCCCCGCCTGTGCGGGTGTCCCTGCTGCCCGGTTCTGCACCTGGTGGAACTGGCACACGTGAGTTCCTCTCAGTGGTTTTCAGAAGTATCTTAAACCCTGGGGCTTTTCTAAAACGTAAAACGTCGTTGAGAACCTCACTGTGTGAAACCAGCCATCCTGGCACTGCACCATCCAGAAGGGCCAGGCCCCCACTCAGCCTCCCTGCCGCTGCGCTCCGCCACCCCGACGCTTGGCCCCCCCCCCAGTCCTCGCAGCCTGCCGCAGCCCCTCAGGGGCCTCTTCCCCCGAGGTTGGGGGCTGCCGGCGAGAGTCGGGTGGCGGGGAGGTCACTGGGCCCTGCCTTGTGGCTGTGCTTCGGCGCCCGACACACTGGATGTGCGAGTCACTGCTCCTTCGGGTGATAAGTGGGGACGCCCTCACCCTCTCCCTGTGACTGAGTGAGTCCGCCGTCCTGGGGCCTCGCTGCCCCACTGCACTGGTGCTCGGGAGCAGGGCTTCCGGGGTCGGCGGTGCGTCCACACGGCCCAGCCTGTCCTGGGAACTGACCGCACGGCCTGTGGCGTGTCCCCTGCTCCGTCTGGGCAGCTCAGGACGGTCACCTGTGCTGTCGCTGCGGCGTGGGGGTGATGTCGGTGGTCGGGTCTTGAGAGCTGTCACCTGCATTGGAAAAACAGTTGAATGGCACTTCTTTCCCTTCTTGTCTCCTTTTGACTTTTTTTTTTTAGCTTCCTTGCCTTTTGTTTTAGCAGCTGCAGTGTCTCGGAAGAAAAAACGAAGAATGGGAACCTATAGCCTGGTTCCTAAGAGAAAGACCAAAGTGTTAAAGCAGAGGACGGTGATTGAGATGTTTAAGAGTATAACTCATTCCACTGTGGGCACCAAGGTAAGGAGGCCGCTGGCGTCGACCACCCGGGCACGGGGAGGCCCGGCTGTGGCTCGAGGGCGAGTGCGAGGTGGCTGGTGCCTGGACGACCTTGGTCCCTTCCCGAGGCCCCAGGCTGCACCTCCTGTCTGGGGCGTGCTGAAAGCCACCTTGCGCCCCCCACACTCCCCGCCGCACACCCCGCGTGCCCCACACCCCCTGCCCTGGCAGGTTAGCAGGTAGCCCCGCTCCCGGGCTTCACGTCACGGATGCGCCCCCGCCCCTCTTCCAGAGTGAGCAGGACCTGGGCGATGGCGCCCTGCACGTGAATGGGGAGAGCGTGGAGATGGACTCGGAGGAGGACGACTCCGAGGAGCTCGACGAGGACGAGGACCAGGGGTCCGAGCAGGCGGCCGCGTTTCCCCCGGAGGACAGCAGGACTTCCAAAGAGAGTGCGTCGGGTAGCGACCGCACCCAGAAGGTGGGCCTCTCCCTGCCTCGGTCCTGAGGGGGTGGTCTGGGCCGTGCCAGGCTGCCCCTCCCCTGTCTGTGCCCAACTTGGGTCTTTGCCTGGTTCCTCAAAGCTTCAGGTGGTCCCTCTCTAGCAGGGACGGGCTCATCTCCCTGCACAACGGTCATTGAAAGAAATGTCTGAGCTCTTCAGCTCTAGACGGACAGGACTTGGTTGGTGGATCCCAAGAGCCGTGTGCTGTGGGCCTCGGTGTGGCGCCCCTCCCCCCACACAGGTGCAGCGCTCCCTCCGGGGGGTGGGACTGGGAGCCCCTGTCCTCCTGTCCTTCTGGTGGGAGTGAGCGGTGTCAGGGCTGCTGAGGCACCCGCAATCTGTTAGTGCCTGGTGCATGCCCATGTGTCCACCCGAGGACCAGTTTTGGGGGCTGTCGATGCGGTGATTCAGTCCCAGTGGTCCCACTGTGGCCCCTGCCTGCTGGGCACGGTCCGCAGCTGGTGCTGGGGCTCAGCCCAGGGCCAGGGTGGCTCCGGGGCCTGAGCAGACCGGGATGCCTGGGTGCACGTCTGCCGTCCGAGGCCCAAGGGAGAGCTGGAGCGCGTGTGGCGTGCTGGGGAGCGAGGTGGCGTCGGTGGCTGTGGTTTCACTGACCCACGGAGCACTGAGGGGACTGCGGTCACTGTTAAGCCGGGCTGTTACAGCCAGTGACCGTTCTGCGAGCCCCTGCGAGGTGCGCGTTGCTCACTGCTCTTCCGGCTGCGCGCCTCCAGCAGCGTCCGTGGACGCTGTGTGTGCACGTGGGGTCGGGCGGTGGCTCCAGGGCACTGGGGTCCGGCCCTCGGGTGGCTCTGCGCACCGGGCTGCTGCTGTGCGAGCCCTGGCCCCGCGTTCTCATCAGGACAGAGCGGCCCTGCTCGCTGGCGGCCCAGCCCTGTGTGGACTGACGCAGCGCCTTGGGGCACTTGCCATGTTTCCTCTGCCCTGTGCGCCTGCGATTCGCAGGGGTTGGGTTTGGTGACGCAAGGTAAACTGGGTGGACTGTATGGGGTGTAAATCACATCTTGAAGCGCAGACTGTGAGGTTTCTCTCAACGTGGTTATTCACGTGTGTCGATGGCATTTATTGGCTGATTTCCTCTCCGTTGCTTTCTTTCTTTTTTTTTTTATTTAATTTTAATCATTGTCAAAGTACAGTTTTCTCCCTGTTACTCCCAATCCAGCCCACCCACCCAACCCTCCCCACTTCCCGCCCATTTCCACCCCCCTTAGTTTTTGTCCCTGTGTCCTTTACACTTGTTCCTGCAAACCCTTCCCCTTTTCCCCTGAAATTCCCTCCCCTCTTCCCTCTGGTCACTGTCAGTCTGTCCTCTATCTCAGTGTCTTTGGTTGTATTTCGCTTGCTTGTTTGTTTTGTTGATTAGGTTCTACTTATAGGTGAGATCACATGGTATTTGTCTCTCACTGCCTGGCTTGTTTCACTTAGCATAATGCTCTCCAGCTCCATCCATGCTGCTGCAAAGGGTAGGAGCTCCTTCTTTCTCTCTGCTGCACAGAATTCCATTGTGTGAATGTACCACAGTTCTTTGATCCACTCATTTACTGATGGGCATCGAGGTTGCCTCCAGCATCTAGCTATTGTAAATTGTGCTGCTATGAACATCGGGGTGCAAAGGTTCTTTTGGATTGGTGTTTCAGGGTTCTTAGGGTAGAGTCCCAGCAGTGGAATCTCAGGGTCAAAAGGCAGATCCATTTTTAGTTTTCTGAGGAAGTTCCATACTGTTCTCCATAGTGGTTGTACCAGTCTGCAGTCCCACCAGCAGTGCACTAGGGACCCCTTTTCTCCACAACCTCTCCAACACTTGTTGTTTGTTGCTTTGTTTATGATGGCCATTCTGACTGGTGTGAAGTGGTATCTCATTGTGGTTTTAATTTGCATCTCTCTGATAGCTAGCGATATTGAACATCGTTTCATGTGTCTTTAGATCCTCTGTATGTCCTCCTTGGAGAAGTGTCTGTTCAAGTCCTTTGCCCATTTTTTAGTTGGGTTGCTTGTCTTCTTAGAGTGGAGTTGTGTAAGTTCTTTATGTATTTTGGAGATTAAACCCTTGTCTGACGTGTCATTGGCAAATATGTTTTCCCCTACAGTTGGTTCTCTTTTACTTTGATATTGTTTTCTTTAGCTCCACTGCTTTCTAAAAAGCTACCTTTGTCGTATACAGCCTGGCAAGTGAACCTGAGTCTGTTTCTAGATTCTCTGTTTCGATCGAGGTTTTCATCTGCAAGACAGTGCCGACACTGAGTAACTAGATGTAGCGACACAGGAAAAAGTTGAACGAATGTGAGGCTGATCAGAATGGAGACACAAGGCGGGGTGAGGACGACGGAGTGGCTGGCGGAAAACAGACAGACGGCAGAACAGCGGTCGGCCGCAGCAGTCACCAGCGAGCGTTGGTTTGGTGTGGGGGCCGTCCCCGGGAGCTGGGAGTGGCGGGCAGTGTGCCCGCCCCTGCGGGGGAGACTGGCCTGGCCGGCGTGGTGGCCACGGAGGGGCCCTGACGGGACTTGGGGCCGGGAGAGCGTGAGTGTGCGCCAGAGCCGTGTGCCCTGCTCAGCGCGTGCACTTGGGTTTGGCGAGTGCTTTGTGACGGCGTGGACGCCCGGGTTCAGTTTGCGGGGGTCGGGGCACCACAGCTGTGTCCCCCTAGGCCGAGTCTGGGCTGGGATGGTCACCCTGACACCCTCCCCGTCTCCACAGGGTGTCTGCTCTCGTTCTTGTTTGTTGCGCAAATGGAATCCCGCCGGGGGCATTTTTTGAAGTGGGGCTTATCCAGGCAGTGTTGTGTCCGTGGGAATTCTCTCCACTGTCAGTTCGTCTTCGCCGTGGTGGCACAGGGGCTTCTCCAGCCCTCTCCGGTCTCCGAGGGCCTCTCTGGCGCCTGGGGTCAGGGCACCCTTGGGGAGCGCTGCCTGCCTGGCGGCCGTTGCCGCTTTGCTGCCTTTGTGGCAGCTGCACTCTGGCCAGGACAGCTCTCCGACGGTGACCGTCACCAGACAGCACACACGTGGACGGAAGTGCTCTGTCGCCCTCCGTGGTTTTTAAGGGAGTGAAGGGTCCTGAGGTCAGAAGGCCCGAGAACCACCACGAGACACGCGGCCGTGTTCCGACGGCGCGTCCTGTGGTTGGTGGTGTTGGGACTGTGTTGGATGGTGTTGCTGTGAGCACACGTGGCTGTCGGGTGCCCACCTGTGAGCACAGCTGCGTGTCACGTGAGCCGCAGAGACACAGCGCACAGCGTCCCGCTGAGGTCTCCACTGGCCATCCACCAGGTCAGCGTCGCCATCAGCCCTGCCTCTCCCGAGTCCCAGAGCCTCCTGCTGGCCTCCTGCTGGCCTGCGTTTGGGTGCCTGTCTCTGTGAGGTGCCTGCTCAGGGCTCAGCAGTCTGTCTGTCTGTCTGTCTGTCTGCTGGTTGGTTTCCTGTCCTTTCTACATGTTATTTCGTGGGGCCCTGGTTCAGCAGCTCCCTTGGGGCATCATCCCATGCACCAAACGGTTGTGGGTTTGGTTCCCGGTCAGGGCATGTACAGCAGGCAGCCTGATTGGTGCTTCTCTCTCACATTAATGTCTCCCTCCCTTCCTTCCTGCCTCTCAAGGCAGTAAAGGCACGCCCTCGGGTGAGGGGGAAAACCATTCGGTGGGAAGTGAGCCCCTGTTGTGGTGCCAGCATGGTACCCCCTTTCACCTTCTCACCGGTGCGACCAGCACTCGCCATTCAGATTGGAAGCAAGTCACATGGCCCGGTCACCTGGCAGGCAGCTGGGGGTCAAGGGCGTTTTGGGTGCTGGGTTGGGGAGAGCTGCACTCCCACTCCCGGGCGTGAGGCAAAGCCAGGCCTGGTAACCGGGGCCAGTCCCGCTGGGTCAGGGTCTCCTGCTGGCCTCCCAGTGGCTGAGCCTGTGCCCACCCTGGGGGGCGCCCTACCGCTCTCCATCCCAAGTCGGGTCCTGGCTGTGTCAGCTGCGTCGGCTGCTCCCCCTCCCCCCAGTTTCCCTGGGCTTCAGGGCGGGCCTTCTTCTGCACGGCTGCCGTGCTGCTGGCACCCAGGGGCCCTCGCAGAGCCACGTCCTCCCTCCCTTCAGTCATCTCGGCCGCCGCCGGGGCCAGGTCGTGTCTGCCCGTTTTCTCCGGTGGTCCCCTGGCTCGGTCTCTGCACCGTGAGAGGCTCCCCGGCGGCGTTTGGAGGCAGCACGCTGAGTGCAGCCGACTGAAGTCAGCAGAGCCCTGCCACGGGGCCGTGTGCGTGGTGCGGAGCGCTGCAGGGCATCTCTGACGTCGGCAGTGCCGGGGGGGGCGTGGCCACCTCTCCCCACCCCAGACGCCGCTGCACTGGTCACCCCGGCGGTCTTGGGAGCGAGGCGGGAAAGAAGCACCTGAAGTTCCAAGGACAAGGGAGAAGTGTGCTGAGAACGGAGTCGTCCCTCTACAGAGTCCGAAGAAAGCAGCTGAGAAAGTCTCCCCGCTGGTGAGCCGACCGTCCCGCGGTGAAGACAGAACCACGAGTTCCTTGCGTGGGCGCAGAGGCCCGTTGGGGACAGGGCGGCAGCGGCGGCAGTGGTCTTGGAAGACACCCGGACGGGACTCACTGAGCAGGACGCACTGGGGGACGCGCCCACTGCCGGGGCGAGCTGCCTCGGGCGCAGACCGGGCGTGGGGCTTTGGGAGGTCGGGTCTGAGAGGCACACCACAGCGTCGCTCCTGGAGCCACAGAGGATGGTTGTAATTGTTAAAAACCCGGTAATTGTTCAGTGTTGCCAGTGTACTTAGCAACAAATTTAACAAGAAACGTTTGTTGCGTGTAGAGGAAAACTGGGAGACTTTGCCGGAAGGTTAAACAGGCAAGTTCGTGGGAAGACCTGTCGTGTGTCTGAGCAGGCAGGACCGGTGCTGCCTCCCCGGGCCGCCCACAGATGCAGGGCGGTCCCCCCGGAGTCTCTGGGCTCCGCGGCAGCGGGTGCGGGGGCTGTCCACAGCGAGAGGAGTGGCGGGGGCAGCAGTGCCAGCCTGGGCCGGGGGCTGGGCTGGGGGCTCGTGAGCCTGGAGCAGAGTGGGCGGGGGAGTCCACAGCCAACCATTGGCGCGGACAGACAGTGTTCGCTGTGATGACGCGTTTTGAGTGGGCGTCTGGGGATCGTGACTTTTCAGTGAATGTTGCTGGAATAATCGACTGGTCTTTGGGGGGAAATAGACTGGACTCTGCTCATGGGCACGGAACCGTGGAGCCTCCTTCCTGGGTCTGGACGGGGGCGGGCTGCAGTCTGCGTGGGTGAAGACCGCCCCACTGGGTACTTGGAAAGGGTGGTCTGGGTTGGGTGAGCTGCTGCCCAGCAGAGCCGCTGTTCAAAACAGTAAATTCCAGATGCAAAGTGTCAGCACAGAATGCTGCCCGGCGGCAGGAAATGTTGGGAACTATTTTTCTGATGTCCAATGAGGAAGGCCTGCTTGTGCACGGCACCGACCCAGAAGCCAAGAAGGGAAGGACGGACACGCGTGACCGGTCCGGAGGAAACCTCCGAGGTTCCGTGTGGTGGAATGCAAGAAGCGAAGCGTGCAGGACGCAGCGCAGCCGTGTTAGCACAGTCAGCGGGCTGAGCGCTGGGGTCCCGCGTGTGCGGTGCCTGCGGGTCGCAGGAGACCCGGAACCCAGTGGAGCGCAGTTGCAGGGGAGGTCCCATCGGGCACGGCGGGTGAGACGGGAGTGGGGTGACGTCGAGGGAGGCGTTCTCTCTGCCCGGGGACACGTGGCCCTCTCGGGGCTGGCGGCGCCTCTGGGCACAGCCAGCACTGTGCTTGGAGCTTCCCGAGCGCCCTGTGCAGATGGCGGCGCCCGCCTGTGGCCGGTCCTGGAGGGCCCTGGCTGGCCTGGGGCGCAGCCTGGTGTGGGGTTGCGAGGGGCCGTCGGAGCCGATGGAGTCGCTGTGAGCCCCACGGAGCCCGGCCGGCGTGTGGGCCCCACCTCAGGGCCCGTTCACCCCGAACAGGTCCGCGTGCCGGGTCGGCGGTGTCGGGGGGAAGGGCGTGCGTAGCGGCGGGAGTGAGGTGTACGTGGTGGTTTGGTGTGGCAAGAACTCCAAAACGTGTTTTTAGTGAAAGTGACACAAAACTGTGTGGCGACCGCCGTCCCAGCAGACAGGCCCCTCGTGTGTGCAGCCCGCATGCTCCATCTTGACTGTGAGGCCCCCGGGGCTGGGCTGGGCGCACGGGGGCGGGGGTTCACTCTCTGTTACCTGGTGGTCTCTGAAAATGTTTTTACTGTGTGTTTTGTTGCTTTGTAGTTCATGAGCTCTGCCACACACAGCACGCGTCAGGTGCACTCGCCTCTTACTGAGCGGTGGTCTGCGGCGGGGGGGCCCCGCCACCTCACAGACTGCCCCCATCTCCAGCGTGTGTGGCCAGTGTGTGGAAAACGTGCTCTGATCAGACCGCTGCCGCTGAGGGGTCTCACGAGTGTCTGTTCTCTTTTCGGCCTGGCGTGCGGCTGGCCAGATGGACGGAGAGTCAGAAGAGGAGCAGGAGTCGGCCGGCACCGGGGAGGAGGAGGAGGAGGACGGAGACGAGTCTGACCTGGTAACCAGCAGTGCACTCCGACTCGTGTTCGTGGCCGAGGGGGTCGGGAGACACCGGGCTCACGTGCGCGCTGCGAGGAGGCGGGGCCTCGAGGACACTGGCAGGAGTGGGCCGGCCTTGCGAGAGGGGCCGAGAGACGCCCTGCGGACGGACGGCAGGGGTTGCCTGGGGCGGGTGCCGGCGCAAGGGCTGTGAGCGGAGGAGGTTTGAGGTGTGGGGCGGAGCCTGTCGGCGGGCTGGTGTCGGGGCAGTGCGGGGCGGGAGCCAGGACCAGTCAGTTGCTACCGGTGGGCAGGCAGGTGGCAGCTTCGTGGAGGCAGGACCAGGGCAGGGCCAGGGAGCTGGGAGTGGGTGGGGCCAGGGCTTGGGAGCCGCGGCCGGGGCCCGGAGCGGGCCTCCGAGCTGCAGGGCTTCGGAGCGCCCTTGGGAGACACAGGGTGGCCGGTGGTGGCGGCTGGTCACGGGGCAGGGGAAGGTGAGGGAGTGCATGGAGCCTGGGGCAGTCGGGTGCAGGGACAGTCTTGGGGGTGGTGCTCGGTGCAGCTTTGATGGCAAGGGGCGCCCGAGGGGTCAGGCAGCGGGGCACAGGGCGGCGGGCCGTGCGTGCCCACCCTGGGGCGGTCGGAGGCAAGGCCAGCTGCTGCACGTGGTGTCTGTCTGTCTGTCTCGTGAACACTTTCTTTGCAGCTGCTCGGTGCCCGCGGCAGGCGGGCGGCCGTCGGTGCTGCGTGTCCGTCTGTCACTCGTGGCAGGTGGACGCCCCTCGCCTGGGTGCTAGAAACACACGCGAAAAAACCCCAACTGCCGGGAACCCGCCGTGCTCCCGTTTGGCGACAGGCCGCGACACGGGCGCTGGCACCGGCCCTGCCGGCCCTCGCCTCTCGGGCAGCGCGCACCCTCTGCCGAGACGCGGCCCCGCTGAGCCGCGGCGCTCCCGAGCGGGGCTTCCTCGTGCGTCCTCTTGGTGCCGGGCTCGGGGGACCCACACGCTCCACGTCGGTGCTCCTGGCCCCGCATTTGTCCTGTGAGACGCCTGGGCCTAGGGGGACGCCTCGTCTGGGGACAAGCCTGGGTGTCTTTGCGAGTGGGACCCCGAGCAGCGTCTGAAAGGGAGGGGACCTTCTGGTTGGAGAGTCAGGGCAGAGCAGGGGTTTTGTTCTCCCAGGAAGCAGAGCGGGCGCACGCGGGCTCTGTGGGCCCCTGCTCAGCGTCTCCTGTCTGCCCTCTGGTCCCCAGAGCTCAGAGTCCAGCATCAGGAAGAAGTTCCTCAAGCGGAGAGGCAAGCCCGACAGCCCCTGGGTCAAGCCCGCCAGGAAGCGGAGGCGGAGAAACAAAAGGAAGCCCAGCAGCGTGCTAGGTAAACGCAAGCCCGCTCTGGACCCCTGGGCAAAGCCGGCCCGGATTGGGGTCTCCAGGGTTTCATCTGGTTCTGTTTTTGTTTTCCCTTGTTTTTATGTTTTAAAGAGATTTTTATTTTGTTTTTAGAAAGAGGGGAAGGGAGGGAGAAGGGGAGAGAAACATCAATGTGTGGTCGCCTCTCACATGCCCCCATCAGGGACCTGACCCACAACCCAGGCCTGTGCGCTGACTGGGAATCGAACCAGCGACCCTTTGGTTCTCAGGCCGGCATTCAACCCACTGAGCCACACCAGCCAGGGCCATCTGTTTTTTTAAAAAAGGAAAGCTGTTTGAAATCTCTTTGGTAGAGACACTCAGGTGACCCGTAAGTGGCCTTCTTGTGGCTAACGTGTGACATTCACTGGCTTCCTTGTTGGGTGTTGAGCTCATGGGGCTTGTGTATCAGCTTCCCTGTGTGGCTGGGGGTCCATGACCTGTGTGGAAGCCCAGTGTCCTGTGGGTGGCCTTTGGTCTTCTGGGCAGACCCCTGCTCCCGATGGCGGAGGCGGGCGGTGGAGGGGGTGTTCCTGCGGCAGCTCTGCTGCCGAGGGCTCGCGTCAGACACGGGTGTGTCCCTCAGGGGCCTCGCTGGTGCGATCTCCTCGCGCTCCCAGTCGTGGGCACCCCCCCCCCGCCCCCGCCAGCCCTCCGCCCCCGGGCACCTGTCTCTGCGGGCGGCCGGCACTGCCGACCGTGCATGGGTCCTTGGGCAGGTGCCTGTCCCTGGCTGCTCTGAGGGTGCCTGCGGGAGAGTCGGCCGTGCCGTGTGCAGACCGGGGTGGCCAGGCGGGCTCCAGGCTGGGGCTGTCCACGGCGTGTGCCGCTCGCCGGCAGGCAGGCAGCTGGGCTGTCTGCGGTCTGGGGCTGCTCCGCAGGGCAGCCGCCGCGCACGTGGCGCGTCCTCCTCCGTTGAGGAGACGCCCGCGCTTCTCGTGGGCGTGCGTTTGGACGGCAGTGGCTGAGTCATGCTCTGTGTCCGACTTTTTAGGGGACCGTTCACCAAAGCACGCACCCTCTTCCCCTGCCGCAGAGCAGAGACCGGGCCCTGTCCTTGCCCGTCCGCCATGGCCGGGCCCCTCCGGCGCCGCTGGTGGCTGCGGGGCGTGTCCGTGCCGACACCAGGGTGCACGTGGGTTCTTCTGCCCCTTCTTTTGGAAAAACGTGTCTCTTGTTCACCTGGAGTCAGGCGTGCGCCACCTCTTCTCAGCCGTCTGTGGGCGCGTGTCCCGTGAACGCGGCACCTCGTCCTGGTGTCGGGGTCAGAGTTGTGCCTGTCGTCCTTCCACGTTCGTGGTCTGTGATCTTGGACGTCTTGACGGACTGTCAGGGGCAGAGAGCTGGTCTTGTGTTTCCCTCCCGGAGTTTTGCACTCGCAGCCCTTGCCCTTGGGTCTCGGGCCCACTGTGGGTGAGTGTCCGTGGTGCGAGGGGGCCCAGCCGACAGCTGCGTGCAGACGGGCACCCAGTGGTCCCCACATCGCCCTCTGGGTGGGTGTTCGAGTCTCACCCTTCCAGTCTTGCTGACGCTGGGCGGGCCGTCCTTGGACGTTTAGTCTGTTCCGCCCATCATCCATCCATCTGTCCATCCACTCTTCATCTGTCTGCCCACCCCCCTCTGCCCGCTGTCTTGGCAGCACAGCGCTGCAGGACTTGCTCTTTCCCACGGTCGTTTCGGGGTTCTCCCACCTCGCTGACGAAGACGGTGCTCAGGCAAACGGACGTTGGGGCGGCGGCACCGGGAGGCCCGTGTGGACGGGTCGCAGCTCTGTTCTGTGGGAAGCGGCGCTCACGGAGCACGCACACGCACGTGCCTGCCCTGCCCTCGGTCGCTGGGCCAGCTTCCCCTCGCTGGCGCCGTGTCGGAGAAGGGGTCATGACGCGCGAGAGCCTTCGTTTCCCGCCACGCGTGCTGTGTGCAGACGGGGGGGTGGGCGGGGCCGGCACAGGCAGCGACGTGGTGGGGGCCTGGGGGGCCGCACGCGGTGGCGTCTGGTGGCTGTGCTGGACGGGTCACTCGCCCCGAGTCTGGGGCCTGGGGGGCCGCGTGGCATCGACAGGGGTGCTTCTGACGCAGGTTCCGACGGGTACATGTCGTCTCTGGGAAGCGCAGAGCCTGCGGCGCCGGGAGACAGCGCGGGGTACATGGAAGTTTCTCTGGACTCCCTGGACCTCCGTGTCAAGGGGACGCTGCCTTCACAAGGAGAAGGTGAGCACTGGGCCGTGACCTGGCCGGGCACTGACTCGCTCTGCTTGCTGGGTGTCGGCCTCAGTGTCGGCGTGAGGCCCGCTGGCGGCCGCGCTGGAAGGTGTGGTTAGAGGCATCCTGATGGCAGACAGACACGGGCAGGAGCTGGCGTCTCCGCGGCATCCCTGGGAGGACACACTCCTTGTTGCTGGGGGGCGGGCCGTCGTGCACCGCTGGCAGCACTGGCCGCCTGGCGTCCCCCGCAGACCGTCTCGGGAGGAGCGGCATGCGGAGCATGTCCTCCTTTTGGGGGCAGCGACCCTTGCCGCCGCGGTCGGGTCGGCGGGGCCTGGCGGCCCAGCAGGCCGGGCTGCAGTCTGGGCTTTGGCCTCCTCCCCTTCCAGTAAAGTGGGCCTGGGAGAAGGATGATGCGCCGTCTTCTCCTGAACATTCCTGGCCCGATCCTGGTTTTCCCAACATCTCCTTCTCTTGCCGTGGGGCAGGGGGTGCCCAGTAGGAAGGAGACTGTTGCCACACGCTCCCCAGTGGGATTGGGTGTGAGCCTCTGTGCCTGAACCCCTAAAAGCAGGTGGGAGACTCTGGGGGGAGAGCCTGCAGGCGGGCACAGCCGGCGCGGGTGCCACCTCTCTGTGCACTTGGCCCCCCGGCTCTGAGAGCGGGGCGCACGAGTCGTTCTTGGGGGCCGGGCGGTGCCGGGTGCCAGCCTGGCCGCCGTGCCGCTTGTGTTTCCTGCCCCTGGGGGCGGGGACTGCGTGGCGCCAGGTGGAGCGGAGCCAGGCACGCCTCCCGCTGGTGCCGACGCGCCCGCGTGTGTGTGTGTGTGACCCAGGGCTGGCCGGCGGTCCTGACGCAGGGGAGACGGACGGCCTTCAGGAAGTGCCCCTCTGCAGCTGCCGGATGGAGACCCCGAAGAGCCGAGAGATCACCACTCTGGCCAACAACCAGTGCATGGCCACGGAGAGTGTGGACCACGAGGTGAGCGTCTCTGTCGCCCGGCAGGGCTGCGTCCGGGCGGGAGGTCCGGGGCGGGCAGGTGCCAGCGGGGCATAGGTGCAGACGGCCATGTGTGTGGCGTCGTCACGGCCTCATTGCCCGCGAGTGTCACGCCTCGCCGCAGACGCAGACCTGGACGGGCGAGTGGCGGGGCTGCGCCCGAGGCTAGTCGCCCGTGAGCCTCACGCGCAGCCTGCCCACTTCGCAGAGGGCCCTCCCCAGGGACAGCGGGCGCTCGCCCTTCGGACCCTGTCCCCGGACTCGCCGTCACCAGTGCTGAGACGCGTCCCTCCCTCTGACCGCGTCCTGGCCATGAGCCGGCCTTCTGAAGCAGGCCCCGTGTCCTGCAGAACGTCACGGGGTGTCTCTGAACGGAGGACATTCCTCTCGGGGCGGAGACCGTGGCGACTCCCCGTGGCGCGGTGCCCCGTCCGCAGTCGGACGCGGGTGGGGAGGCCGGCCGTCTCGGTCTTTCCTCAGAGTCCCCGCTGCCGGCCTGGCAGAGGCCCTGGGTGCGCCGGGCACCTTCCCGGACCCTGGGGTCGATGGCGTTCTTTGCTGTTAGGTCGTGCCCCTTGGTTCCTGTGGCCTGAGCGCTTGGTCCCAGACCCGAGGGAGTCCGGCCCTCGCCATCTCAGCTTTGCTTTGATCTGCTTTCGCCAGCGTGCCTCGGAGCCGGGCACCGCCCCGGCAGCCCGGCAGGAGCGGCGCCGGGATGCGTCGGGGTCCGAGCGGGGCCCTCAGTACCCTCCTGCCGCGGCTCCTCAGCCTTCTCCTGGCGGTGGTGCGTCCTCACTCCGCCGCCCGAGCCGCCCTCCTGCCGGACGCTGCGGAGCGCCGTGCGGCGGGGTTCCGGCCCGAGGACCGGCCCTCGTCTGCCGGGCTGCGGGCCCCGAGCGGCGCGGCGCCTGTAGAGGCAGCCGTGGTGCCACGCACCACGCTCTCCCCCTGTCCGAGCCTCCTGCTTCTCTCCCCACCCCCGGCTCCTTCGGGGTCTTGCTGACTCACGGCCTTTTCCGTATTCAGCGTGTCATGTGCGTGTTTGTTACAACGTGAAACAAGACCACGCGAGACGGACAGAGGTGCTCGCTCACGACCACGTGGGACACAGAGCTGGACCCTGAGGGGCCGGCACCCTGACCTCGGTCGTGGTCACCCTGGTCCCTGAGTGGTTTCACCGTCCATACGTGTGGCCCTGGACACTGGTGCCCGTCTGTCGCCTTTTTTTAGAGATGGGGGGGGGGGGACGGGGTGGGGGGGCATCGATTTGTTGTTCCACGTACGTTCGTGCTCTCGCTCGATGGCGGGTCCTCGTGTGTGCCCTGAGGGGGCGGAGCCCACAGCCCTGGCACCTCGGACGGAAGCCGGGACCGGCTGAGCTCCTCGGCCGGGGCGTCGCCCATCGGTCTTAGATTGCCCCTTTCAGCCTGGGGGTCCTGCGCCCCGGTGCCGTTCGGCATGCTCGTCTGCGCCACCGTCTCCCCCTTGGTGCGGCCCGGACACGGCACTCGGCTCTGCCGGCTTCCTTGGGGGGAATCGCCGGGGCCGCCGGCCCAGTGCGGGCCGCGTCGTTCGGCTGACCGGTGTGTCCGCTCCTGGGGCTTGTGGGGTGGCCACCCGCTCGCTCGCTGCTTCCGCCAGCTGGCGCAGGTCTGCATGGAGCCTCGCCCCCTCCCTCGCCCGGCGTCCCCCGCCCCGCGCTTCCCGGCTCGTCCCCTCCGCTCGCCGTGGGCTCGCACGCGAGGGTCTGCTCCGGGGGCTTGAGTTCTCCGTGGTTTGTCCTCGCTGCTCAACCTGCCCCACCCGTGGGCCACGGGCCCTCTGCGCAGGGAGCCTTCCCGGATTCGGCGGGCTCACGGGGAGAGGTTTGGAGCCTGCCGCTGTGTCACAAAGGGCAGGCGGCATTTTGGCCGCGAGCAGACCCGTGGGCCTCGGCGGTGCGGTCGCTCCCGCGGTGCTGTGAGATCACGCAGGGCCCAAGGCCCTGCTGCCGGCCTCGCTGGAGCGCCTCCGTCGCCATGGAAGGCGGTTGGGGCTCCCCGGGGCCGTCGGGCTTCGAGGAGACGCCCGCGTGACTCTTGGCGTGGCGCCAGGGAGGCGCGGCGGCACGCTTGGGGCGCAGCAGCAGTGGCGAGAGCCCAGCGCCCATCCCAGCATGCGCCACAGAGTGTGCGAGCAGCAGAGGACAAGGCCGCTCTCCTCGTTACAGGTCTCTTTGTTTTGAGAAATATTTTTCCATTGAAACACTTTTCTGTGTTGGCACGTGATGGGTGTGTTGCTATCTTTAGGTAAATTAATAACTGAAAGAGTTTCGGTTTCCCACGTGGCAGGTGTTGGTAGGTGTGCCCCTTTTGGATTAAAGCTTTTCGGGACAGGACTCTTGTGATTCTAAGAGGAAAAGAGCCTGAGACGGGAGGCTGAGAACTCCTGGGCCTGGTCCCCTCCTTGCTTCCTCTCTCGCCCCCCGTCCCGCCCTGCCCCGCACCCCTGCACGCCGTCCTGGCAGCCTCCCCCTGCGCCCCGTGCAGGTTGTGGGGCGCGTTCCGCAGGCCGGGTGCTCTGGCGCGCACAGCCCTGTGGGCTTGGCGGGGACGCGGACCGCCTGGCTGTTCTGGTGCCGTCCTGCGCCTGTGTCTGGGAGAGGCCGCCCGGCCTCCTCCTGCCCTCTCCTGGCTCTGGGTTCTGTCCCCCCACGGTCCCCACGGAGTCTTGTGGCTGCAGTGACTGGGGTTTGTTGCGTGTGGGTGTGGGCTTTGCTGTCCACTTGCTCTTGCTGTTTTGTTGGGGCTCCAGGAAATTCTGGGGCCGCAGCCCTTCCCTCAGGTGACTTCTGTCTTTCCACGCCCCGCCTGTCTCGTCCTTGGGCGGCAGCGGCTCTTCAGCGACGAGCTCCCCTGCCTTGGGGCTGCGTCTCCCGCCAGCTGTGCCGAGGCACGGCTCGCACGGAGTCGGGGTCACAGTGGCCACCGAGGCGTGAGTGGTTCTCGGACCACACGGTGGCGCAGCACCCACCCTGCCAAGGACCTGTGGCCCGCGCTGCTGGTGCCACTCTGGCTCCCGCCCTTCGCCCCATTTCCGGCGGTGCCGGCTCCGCAGCCCCGGGCCTGGGGTGGTCGCGGCCCTGTCTCCTCAGCGACGGAGGCCCGAGGTCTCCGGGACGCCCCCGGGAGCCGGGTGTGCACAGGGTGCTCTATGAGCTGTCCGCCTGTTGTCCAGCGGCCGCTCAGACCACCCGCCTGACGGGGCTGCGGGCGCACGGGCCCCGCGAAGCAGCGTGACGGAGTCGGGCCGGCGCCAGCGGTCAGTCCGCTCCCTTAGCCCTCGGCCTCCGCGAGGACGTCCCTCGTCAGCGCTGGCTCTGGTCTTCACACCCACTGCCGGTGCTTCCGGTGGCTGCCCCGGGCTCACAGTGCGCAGCTCCGACTGCACCTGGCGTGCCGTGTCATGACTGCACCTGGCGTGCCGTGTCACGACAACGTGGTGGTGAGGCCCCCTCCCCTCCTGTCCCACATGGAGTTCGGTCTCAGACCTGCTGGAACCCCCACCGCAGGTCGCCGCTGTCTCTGCTCCAGACACCCTGCTGTTCCCCGTCAGGCTGGTTAGACACGACGAGCTCCGTGAGCGCACCTCTGCAGGTGCCCCTTCCCTCTTCCTGCCTGGTCTCTGACCCCAGGAGCTCGCTTCTGTCCTTGGGGTGCGTCTCCCTCTGTAGCCCCGGACCCCACCTCAGAGCTGCCTTGGGTCCATCACCCCGGGGACGCGTTGTGGGGGCCCCTGGTCCCGCACGCCCGCTGTGCTGTCTTCCGTCCCGAGTCCCCGCGCGGCCCTTCGCTGGGAGGGCGGGCCGTCGAGGAGGAGGGCAGGGCCTGGGGCGTGGGGCCCAGGGCTCCGTCCCTCTCGTCCACTCTCTCGTGCCCACACGCGCCGGGTGGGGGCGGAGCCTGTGTCAGCCGATCGGTCGCCAGACGGGCAGGGAGGGTCCTGTCGGAGGACTGAAGAGGCTGACGTTGGCAGGTGCCGGGCTGCCCCCCAGCCTGTCCCCGGGGCGTCCAGGCCTGGGGTCTGCAGCGACTCTGGCCAGCAGCCGTGGTCTGGCACTTGCTCTGGCTGCCCCGGCCACCTGGGGGCTCCAGGGAGTTTCAGACACTCACGTGCGTTCCGCACTGCCAGCCTGCGACAGTGGTCCTGCCCAGCTCGGTCCTGCCCGTGCACATCTGTTCGCTCGGTCGCGCGTGAGTTTGCACCCAGCCGAGGCCCCGGCTCGCTCGGGGTGTCGTCTTCGGTTTTGCCGAGTTAGTCGCGTGTGCGCGGATCACCCTCTCGTGGGGGCGCATGTCCTCGACCGCACACACGGGTTGTGATCCCACCCTGGACTCGCCTCTGCCCAGCCCCCGGCAGCCCTGCCGCTGACCCCGCTGTCGTCTGGTTGCAGCTGGGCCGGTGCACGAACAGCGTGGTCAAGCACGAGCTCATGCGCCCGTCCAGCAAGGCGCCGCTGCTGGTGCTGTGCGAGGACCACCGGGGCCGGATGGTGAAGCACCAGTGCTGCCCCGGCTGCGGCTACTTCTGCACGGCGGTAAGCACCCCGCCCTCGCCGCCCGGGCAGGGCCTCGGCCGGGCCCGGGACCCTGGAGGTCCGCGTGCGCACACACACACGCACGGCACGCCTCGGCCTCCTGCCCGGGAGCCGTGGGCTACGGGGGCCTGGCGGGGGGGGCCTGGGCGCCCTTGGGCCTTCCTCCTCTGAGCTTTGCGTGTGCAGCCCGTGTCCTGGAGGGCACGCTGTGCCTCCCGCACCGCCTTCACCCGCTGCTTCCCCTGGGCCCGCGTCGGCTGCTGCCTTCGCGTGCCCCTGCGCCTGCAGCGCGGGCTCCTCACCCCAGGGCCCCGCCGACTGCGGGGTGCTGCGGGTTCCACGCCCTCGTCCACTGCTGCCGCTGCTGCCGAGAAGGCAGGGAGCTGCTTCTGTGGGTTCCTTGAGCTTTGGCTCCGGCTTCCCAATTTCACCCCCTTTGCGCCAAGGAGAGGCCTCGCCTGAGGTCGCTGGGTCACCTGCAGCGCCACGGGGGCCGCTGCCGACAGCGCCTCCTCCGGGCGCCCTGGCCTGCCCTCCGCGGGCCCCTCCCAGGACCTGGCCTGACGGGCAGCCTCCCCCCAGGCTTGGACCGCCGGGGCCTGGCCTCGACCTCGGGGTGTGGGGCCACGTGGGCGTTCTCGGGGAAGGCCGCGCTGCGTGCCCCCCCCCCCCACAAGCTCAGTCGCCCCCCCCTGCCCCCGCCCCCCCCCCCCGTTCTCTGCCGGCCAGCCCGGCCCTGGGACGAACCCCGCCTCTCGCCCGCAGGGCAGCTTCATGGAGTGCCAGCCCGAGAGCAGCGTCTCGCACCGCTTCCACAAGGCCTGCGCCTCGCGCGTCAGCGGTGCCAGCTACTGCCCCCACTGCGGGGAAGAGGCCTCCAAGGCCAAGGAGGTGACGATCGCCAAGGCAGACACGACCTCCACGGTGACCCTGGCCCCAGGGCAGGAGAAGAGCGCCTCGGGGGAGGGCCGGGCCGACACCACCACGGGCAGGTAGGCGTCCGCTGTGCCCCCTGGACCCCCTGCCGAGCACACGCCCGCGTCTCTGGCAGGAAGACACTGCGGGGCGCAGGCCCCCCCCCCGCTCACCCGTCTGCACAGCAGCACTGCCCTGCCCACGTCGCTGTGAGGTCCAGGGTGCTCTCTGTGGGTGGCGGCTCTCGATGTGCGTGGATAACCGTGCACACACATCGAAGGCACTCGTGTACATGTGTGCATGCTCGTGCATGTCAGTGTGTGTGCACGCGCGGACCTGCACACCCACACGTGTCCGTGTTGGTAAACACCTGCACATGCCTGCACATGTGTGTACACACTCATTGGAGGTTTAGGTTAGCAGCTGCAGTCCGCGTTACGGCTTTATGTTTTAAAGGCCTGAGCTAAACACAAACATAATCTAAGCAACGAGGGTTCGCATTGGAAGCATGTAATTTTCTTCCTGAAAGAACCCAGGAGAGACAGCTGGGAAGCCCGCAGTGCCGAGAGGGGTCAGGGAGAAAAGGAGACGAGACAGAAGCACTGGGAGCTGGGAGCTGTGCTCCCTGCCAGCAGGGTCCGGCTAGCAGACAGAGCGGGAGGGAGCCTTTCCAGCAGCAGCAGAGCCCGCCCACGGCCGGGCGGGGGGGCACGTTGCGGGTGTCCCGCAGCGCAGAGAGCGCTGTGAGGCCGCACTGGGGGCCGCCGGGTGGAGGCTGGAGCGGGAGGCGCAGCAGAGCTGCGTGTGGGCAGGGCGTCAGCCCTGTGCCCTTCGAGTCCCTTCCCCGTGGGGCCCAGTCCCGGGGGGGCCGTGGGCTCGATGGGTCCAGCCTGAGGCTCGTGCCCAAAAGCACCTGTGGGCACGTGGCCTGGACACCCGGGGAACGGCGTCCCTGTTGTCGGTGTGACTGTTCTCTGGGACTCGGCTCTGAGCCGGGACTCAGCCTGGGAACTCTTCCTCGCGCCCAGGGGAGCGGTGTGCTTGGGGTGGGGGGTGGCGTGTCCTAGCAAACGGTGTCCTTGATTCCATGGTCTCCCCACAACTCAGCATTTCACGTGCTCCCCCCTCCCCAAAGCGTTGCCGGCCCTTCGCTCTCCGAGGATGACAAGCCACAAAGCATGGCTGCCCCGATACCCGAGAGCTTCGACCCTGCGGGGCCGGCCGGGCTGGCCAGGCCGGGACCTGGGAAGGAGACCTTGGAAAGCGCGCTCATCGCTCTGGACTCGGAGAAGTAAGGACCGCCTGCGCGTCCGGACACTCCCAGGGCCTTGCTCGGCCACGCTGCACGCCTGCTGCCCTGCGGAGCCCTCACTGGGCTGTCTGCACGCGGGGTCCTCAGGCCCTCGTGGCCTCGCTGCCGGCCAGGGTCCCACCCCCCTGGTGTCGGCACCCTCACCAGGCCGCAGGGCCTTCCTGGGAGGTCGCTGCGGCACCGCTCAGCTTCCTCGTCGGCTTGTTTGCCGAGACAGCACACGTGGTTTTGCGCTGCTTCAGTGAGTTGTTACTGGTGACTGCCCGTTGCCCTGAGAGCAGAAGGTAACAGCTTTGGAGGCAGAACAGGGACCGTCTCGGTGAGGGGCGTGCAGACACCCCCGCGTGCTGCCCACCTGCCGCGCTGACCGCACGGCCGCAGAGCCATCGGCCAGGCCCTGGTCCCTGCAGCAGAGGTCGGACCTGCCGGCCCCTCCGGCCTGCCTGGCAGCCCTCTGTCTGCCCTGTAGGAGGCCGGGTCCCTGCCCTGTGAGCAGCAGCAGGCGTCCTCGTCCGGGGACACTGCGGCCCTGGCGTGGGGGCGCCGAGCCCCCTGGCTCATCAGGCCGTAGGCCAGCGCGCGTCCCCTCTCCCCGGGGAAGCGGGTCCCCGGGCGGGAGAGGCGAGCGTCGCCCGCTCCTGCTTCGTGGACGGCTCCCGAGTCTCGGGCCCCGTCCTTGGGCTGCTGGTTCCGTCCCTGCTGGGCCTGCTCACCAGGCCCGCCCGCCTGTCCCTGCCCACCGCCGGGGCTGCCCCTGACCACATGCCCCTCAGACGAGCGGGGTGCTCCCGGCTGCAGGCCGCTGGGCACGCCGGTGCCGCCCGGAGAGAGCACCCGGCGTGCTGCGCGTGCCCCCCGGTGGCGCGCGGACACGGGGCTCGTGCGGCAAGGACCCTGCGTCACCCAGGCTGAGGGGCCGGGGCTGAGCCGAGGGCAGTGTGCCCTGACCTCGTGTCGGAGGCCAGCTCCGCGCCCCTCGGTCTGCCGGGGGCTCAGCCAAGGGTCGCTCTCTCCAGGACTCAGGAGTGGACACGCAGCGCAGGTGGTGATGCCGCCCTCGGCTTCGCAAGCCCGCCCCTGTGGCCCTGGGGCAGGGCCTGGCCCCGGCCCCTGCCGCCTCGGGGAGTCCGTGCTGGGGGGGCCCGAGCTGTGTGCCGCGCGCTCAGTCGGCCGCGTCCGAGTCGGGGGCCCTGGCCGCAGTGCCAGAGCGCAGCTCACTGCACCCCTGGGCTGACCCCGGCCTTTCGGCAGTGGGGCCCCCGGGAGCCGCTGTGCTCCTGTGTGCGAAGAAGCCGGCTGCTTGTCTTGCTCGCTGTTAGTGCGAGACGCCTCCTGCGGGGGGGCGAGACCCGGAGGAGCCGCTCTGCGGGGGGCGTGGCGGTGGCACTGTCCTGTGCTCTCCCCGCAGGCCCAAGAAGCTGCGCTTCCACCCGAAGCAGCTGTACTTCTCCGCCAGGCAAGGGGAGCTGCAGAAGGTGCTGCTCATGCTGGGTGAGTGCCTGCCCCCCCGCCGGCCCCGCGCCCCCCCAGGGCCCGCGCGGGTGGGTGGTGCCGCCGATGCCTCTGCCGCCCTGAGGGGTGCAGCCAGGGTGCCCAGCGGGGCGGCGCCAGTGTCCGCTGTTCCCACTTGGGGTGCGCGGGACGGGGGCTGGCCTCGGAGCCTTCCTCGGGCGGGTCGGGGGTGCTCCCCGAGAAGACGGTGCGGGGAGGGCGTCACCGGGGCCCTGTGCTGGAGCTGCTCTGGGTTTGCTGTTCCTTCGTTTTCGGGGGCAGGGGGGGGGGGGCGCGGGCGCCGGTGGGTGTGGTGATCAGCCAGCACGCCGGCTGCACGAGGACAGTGATCCGATTCTGTTCTCTCAGCTCTGGGCTTGACTTCCGTGGGCCGAAAAGGGCGACTTTAAAATCCCTTCGTGTCACAGTGAGTCAGGAGAGACGCGTAACAATTTGCTTTAGAAAAGACGCGTGTTGGACGTTGACCGAAGTGGCACTTTGAGTCGTTTCCCTCACACCCGTGTGCCGCTGCCTGTCTGCGCTGTGGCTGGTCTCTGGGCTCAGCGCCCCCTTCAGGCCGCTGGGGCTGTGCGCACGGACCCCGTCTGTCGGGGTGCGCCTGGTGGTGCTGTCCCCCGAGTCTCCGCTCGGGGTGGGGAGGCCGTCGCCGGGGCCCAGTGACGCCGCGGGGCCCGGGTCAGACGGGAGGCCCCAGGGAGCGGGTTTGTGTCGGCAGGTGGTGTCTGAGAGCACAGCCGTCGGTTGGCGTCACAGAGACTCCTTTGAGGCTCCCTGTGAACCCGGCCTGTCGTCCACACCCAGCCGCCGTGCCTGCGCAGCCCCTGGGGTTGTCGGGGCGCCTCCCGACCGTCTCTGCCGGGAGGCGGCGCCGGCTCCGAGGTAACCAGCAGCACCCGTCTGTCCACAGTCGATGGCATCGACCCCAACTTCAAGATGGAGCACCAGAGCAAGCGGTCCCCACTGCACGCCGCGGCAGAGGCCGGCCACGTGGACATCTGCCACATGCTGATCCAGGTGGGCCGCGTGGCTGCCGCCTCGGCTCTGCTCGCGGGCGGAGCCGCCCAGCGCTCGGGCGTCCCGGACCCACGGGTGCAGGGGCTCTGTGTCGGGCGCTGCAGCTCGTGGGGGGGTGGGGGGAGTTCCTGGCCTGGCGTCGCTGCCGTGTCTCCGGCCTGTCCCCAGCCCGGTCCTCGCCGGCCCCGCTGCACCCCTTGGCCCCCCCGGCCCACGTTCTGGGGCTCGTTCCTGACCGCCCTCGGGGGTCCTCGTCAGTGCCGCCGTCCGGGGGCCACGTGCGCTCTCGTCCCCGAGCGTCCTGTCCGCAGCTGCCCTTCTTCCTCGCGTCCTTGAGCACGTGACTGACGGTTCCTTGGGAGCTGCATGCGGCTCGGTGTGTTTTGGCCTCACTTGAAGGTTTTCCTCAAGTGCCTGGTGGTGGTGGTTCCATTTCAAGGGAAGTGCCACGTGCTGCTGCTAGGTGCCCGGTGGGGCACCATGTCACCATCGGGTGACCGGTGTGGGTGGCCGTCCGCTGGCCCCCCGACAGGACATCGCGGTCCCTGGTGGGGCTGCTGCGGGAGCCCCAGGGGCTTGCGGCGCGGGGCTCGCCTGCACTCCCTCCCGCGGCCTGCCCCGCGCACACCTGCGGTCTCGGTGCTCTCCCCGCGCGGGCGGGGCGGTGGCTGTGAGCCCAGGGCCGAGGGCCCCTGCCGGGAGTGGGAGCCGCTTGCTTTCTGGTGGACGCACCTGCGGGTGCGGGACCGTGGCCCCCACGATGCGTGCATCGCAGCCGCCCGGCCTCTGCTGTGGGCGGGGCCCCGTGGGCGCGTGTGGCCGGGTCTGAATGGGGGCCTGCGGGTCAGGCAGCGCTGTGGCTTCTGACGTTGGGGTTTCTTTCCAGTGCCTTACACTTTTGATTCTCGAGTTTCGAAACAAATTACTTCTTTCTAGTTTTCTTCTCTCGCCTTGTTTGGGGGTGATTTTTATTTTCATTGTGTCGTATCCTTTATTTTCATTTGTTTGGAAGTTCCTTTTCTTTCCTGTCCCCAGCGGTCTCGCTTGCAGGAGCTGTCTGTGACTGCTGATGGGCACCCGAGGTGGGGCCGGGGCCAAGGGTGCGCCACCCTGGCCTAGGGCCCTGAGGCCTACCGGCCCCCGTGCTCGGGAGAGCCACAGAGAGCTTGGTGACAGCAGTTGGGGCCCTCACGGGGGTCACCCAGGCTCAGGGTAGTGACGGGCCAGTGGGGCGAGGGGGTCTTCGGCGTGGACCTGAGGCAGGGGTGGGGGCACGGTGCTCATGGAGTGGGGGGGCAGGGAGAGCTGTGCTCCTGTGGCCGTGTGTCTGCAGGTCCTGGGCACCGTGGGGTGGGCACCGTGGGGTGGCTGCAGGCCCTGGAGTGAGGTGGGAGGTGAGGATCAGAGACGGGAGACTCTGTCCCTGGATCTGGGATCCTGCTGGCTGGTGGCCTTGTCTCACCGCCGAGAGGAACGTCCCCGTCTTCTGCTCCCACCCGCCTTTCGAGAGGTTGGCCGGCGTGTCTCTCCTGAAGAGGCCTGCGCTCTTGCTGGCTTTTCCCGGAACACTCGAGTGTGGTCAGGGCGTGGTCAGGCAGGAAGGGGCCCGTCTGGCTGCCGCTTCTGGGCAGAGCTGCTTGCTCCCCAGAGACACCCTGTCTCCCCCAAGGTGGCGGCGCCCCAGGCTTGGCTGGGACAGTTCCGGCTCCGAGTTCTGGTGGCTTTCCTGCCGGACTGGCGTCCCCACACACCGTGGCTCAGCCGCGTCTGCCTCCCAGCCTGGTGCTGAGCGGGGCAGCGGGTCTTCTGTCTGCAGTTGAGCCCCGGGCAGCCGGCAGGCTCTCTCCGTCCGTCCCCGTTGCCCCGGCTGTGGCTGAGCCCTGTCACGGGGCGGTGGGTGGAGGGACGCGGGGACTCTGTGCTGTTTCACAGCCTCTTTGAGCCTTCCACCCTTGACAACCCCGTGTCCGCTGCTTTGAGGCGCTCCGCGGGTCTCTGCACGGGCCGCCTTCCCGAGCCTCGGGACGCTCAGCCGGGGGTGCGGCCGGCGGCCGGCCCCCTCGCCCACGCTCCGCCAGGCATCCTGAGGCCCCCGAGCTTGGGAGCCTGTGGTTTTGTGTATGTTTCCTCCCCCCAGAACCTAAGCCGCTTTCCTTCGGTTCCCGGGGAAGAGATTGAGGGGTTTAGTTCTGGGGCCAAGTGTGCTGTTTTGGGGGGCGCCCTCCCCTGGACCAGCTCTGGCGATGCACACTCCCGGGCTCCTGTCCGGCGGGCACCACGAGCGTCCTGCCCCAGCGCCGTGGCCCCGGGGGGCGGCACGTGCTCCGTCCCGTCGGCGTCGCGCTCTCGCGGGAGCGCGGTGGGCCCTGTCCCCCCCGCCAGCCTTGTGCTTTCGCTGTGGTTTTTGGGGTCACGGAGGAGTGCTGCCAGGTGCCAGCTCCCCGTGGGTGGCCGCCCCTGGCCCTGGCCCTGCTCTGCGCAGCCGGGCGTCCTCCCGCTGCACGGGCCTCTCACGCCGCCCCTTGCCTCGGGCGGGCCTCGGAGTGGACTTGTGCCGGTGAGTGCTGTGCACGTGTGGCTCGACTTGGCCCTCCGATGGGGCCATCCATCCTTGGCCTTGGACTCCCGTGTCATGGAAATTCACCTTGTACCCCCTGCCCCCATGCCCCCTGCACGGCTCCAGCCTCTGACCTCTGACCCCAGCTCTGGAACCGGCGAGGTGGGGGCTGTGGCTCTGCACACTGCAGAGTCCCTGGGCCACCCGGTCTGTTCTGGTGGTTGATTGCTGAGAGTGAGAACAGTATTGACTTCAGCCTTTCTCACGGTAAATGTTTATTTCAAAACTAAATATTATTCCTCTGTCTGTCAGTTCAAGAGGTTTGACAGTCTGTCCCCCTGCAGGGAGAAGCTTTCAGCCACCAAACGGCTGATTTGCTTGGAGCTCGGGATCCAGGGCAGGGTGGGGGCTCCCTGGGCCCCGGACAGACCCAGCCGCGCACGCCGGCCTGCGTGCCCCTGCGCCAGCGCTTGCCCCGCAGGGAGGCGGCCGGCGTGCCAGGGCGCAGCCTGGTGTCCTGCTTGTCTGGCTGCGGCACCCTGGGGCCTCTGCCGGTCGGGTCCGCACCTGCCTCTGTGGGCGGCCCTCTGCCCCCTTTCCCGGCTGGCTGTCCTTTCCGAAGGGGTTGCTCTCACCGTTCTGCAGGTGTTTCCTGCCAAACTAACTCAGAGACGGAGCTGCTGTTCTCGAACTAAAGCTGCGGTGTCACCAGGGTGCCTGGGAGGGCCGGGCAGCACTGCTCAGTGGGGGCTCTCCCCCAGCCCGTGAGGCCCCTCCACTTGCACGTATCTGGGGCGTGTGAGTCACCAGGTCCTCGCCCGGCTGTGGCTGCCGCGGCAGCTGCCCACACCCCGCCCGTTCCTGTCCCCCCAGGCGGGAGCGAACATCGACACCTGCTCTGAGGACCAGCGGACCCCGCTGATGGAGGCAGCGGAGAACAACCACCTGGACGCCGTGAAATACCTCATCAAGGCCGGGGCCCTGGTGGACCCGAAGGTAAGTGCGTCGCTCACCCTCCTGCTCCGTCCACCTGTCCTCGCACCCAGCAGCAAAGCCAGCGTCCTGCGGGGCATTCTTGGGAGTGGTGGCCGCTGGCCATCTGCCAGTGCCCGGGAACAGCTGGCCCGGCGAGCTCGGGGGCCGGCAGACAGTGGCGTGCACCCCGGGCCTGCCACGTGGGGGCGGCTCCTCCGTCCGGGACCACTCTCCTGCCCTGGGCTTACCCGGCGCAGTCAGGGTGAAAGGGGATGAAGGGCATCCGGTCCAGAGAGGAAGAAGCAGAGTGACCTCTGTTCACAGGTCGCCTGACCTTGTGTGCAGAGAGCCCTGAGGAGAAAGGCCGGGTAGAGCGTGCAACCGAGGGAGTGCGTCCAGGGGTGTGGGAGGCAGGGCCCTGGCACGGGAACGTCAGCTGTGTCCCTTTGCACCTGCGGACGGGCCGTCAGGCGGTGAGGGCGGCAACTCTGTCTACGCTGACGTCCGGAGGAACGACGCCCTCAGGAGTGAGCTCGACTGACGGGGGCGGGGGGGGGGCTGGACGGCGCGCTGGAAGCCGCAGAACGCGCCGACGGAAGTGAACGGTGCGGACGCTCGCAGGCACATCTGCGCTCCCGGTCGGAGACACGGTGCCGCCACGGAGACATGGTGCCGCCGCGGCGGTGTCAGGACCGCCCAGATCGACCTGCGGGGTCAGCGCCGCCCGTCAGCGCTCTGCCACGTTTCCCCCAGACACGGCAGGCGGTGCGCCCCCTGAGACGCGGGTGGGTCTCGGGGGCCCTGCACGGCCCAGACGACCCCGAGACAGAGCGGAGCCGGGGACGCACACGTCCTGGTTTGCAGACTCGCCGCGGAGCCCCACGATGAAGGTGCTGGGTGAGGTCGGGCCCGTGGGCCCTGGAGGGGACGGTGAGCGGAACAGACCTTCAGCACCTCGATGACCACTCCCCGGGGAGAGGGCCGGCCTTCGACCGGACACCCACCCACACGGGTGCAGTCACACACGGAGGCTCCGTGACCCTCACCCCGGCGCACGCCGAGGAAGCAGATGCCCGCTCACCCCGCACCCAGCGGCGGCGGGGCCCCGGTGGCCCTCTGCACGCGACGGGCCGTCCACCAAGTGGCACGTCGTCCCACCTCGCAGAGCGGGGCGTGCCGACGCCCGCTGCAGCCCTGGGGACCTCGAGGACGCTGTGCCAGGCAAAGAGGGACGGGGCTGTGGGTGTCCGTCTGGGACGGACGTGGGACCCGCAGGTGCAGGGGCGGAAGTGGGTCAGAGGTTCGGGGCGGGCGGTGTCGTTGCTGACGGGCACCGGGTGTCCGTGCGGGGTGACGAGGGGGCTTTGGGAGCCCATCCCAGCGATGGCTGCCCAGCCCCGCAGGGCGGTTAAGGCCACCCCGTCTGCGCCTCACGCGGGTCGAGGGGCAAGTTCTGTGGCACGTGCCCGTGGCCGTGGGAGCGCGGGGGGGGGGGCGGAGGGCAGGAGGGACCTCGTAGCCTGCACTCGGGGCACACGTTCCCCAGCGGAGGCGGCTGCCCTGCTCGTGCCGGTGCCTCGTTCCTCTCTCCCGTCACCTTGCGTCCGTGTCCCCGTCTGTGGGAACTCTGTGACGCTGTTCTGCGTGGCTGCTGCGGTTTCCATCCTGCGCGTGCGGCACGCAGCGGACGCCCTCCTCGCTGGGCCCCGCGCGCGGCTGCTCTCCGCGGGGCGGTCCCGGCTGCCGCGCAGCTGGGCGGGGGCCTGCCGTCACTGCGGCCCCGGTCCTCGCCGCGCTCCCGCCCCTTGCTCTTGCCAACAGCAGCACCTGCACGTCTGCAGGAAAACTTGCACGATTCAACACGCGTGTTCGGCGGTTTTATTTACTGTTTCGTTTAAGGGTTTTACTTGTCTTTAGAGAGGAGGGAGGGAGGGAGGGAGGGAGGCAGAGGACGAGGAAGGTCCACGTGTACTTGCCTCTCGCACGTCCCACCACCGGGCCCTGGCCTGCGCCCTGACTGGGAGTCGAACCAGCGGCCCCCTGGTCTGCAGGCTGGCGCTCGATCCGCTGGGCTACACCAGCCGGGGCCATCGACTCACTAGTTTAATCAGCTTCTGCCCAGTGATCACGTTTTGTGTGTAGTTGCTCACATCCGTCGGGAATGTTTCTCAGCCCCGCGTGCGGTCCTTTGGTTTGGTTTCGGTGGCGCTGAGATCTGGAAACCTTTCGTTTTTCTGCAAACGCCTGTGTGACTCTTAGGTAGTGGTTACCAGTCCCACGCACTGTGATGCCGGTGGGCCCTGCCAGGGGACGGTTTCCCAGCTCCAGCACAGGGGCCACCGCCCCGGCCGTGTCCCACTGAACCGGCCTCCCGGGGGCAGCTGGGACCAGCTGCACAGAGGACGGGCTCAGGTCTCGGGCATGGGTGGCCCCTGAGTGAGCGTGATGGCGGCGGGGGCGCCGTGGGGGGTGGGGCACAGAAACGTCCCGTCTGGAAGCAGTGTGAGGGACATCAGACCCGCTGGCTGTCGCTCAGGTCGCAGAAAGCGGAGAGGAAGCCGGGCAGAAAAAGGAACCGTGTTGAAGGGGAGTGGTTGCACATTGCCCAGCTCTGATGAAAACCCGCAGGACTGAGGCACTCGGCAGGCCTCACGCTGGGCAAGTGCAGGCATCGCCACGACTCAGTGCATCTGGGCTGGGCGGTGGAAACCAGAGATGAAGAGAAGACGTTAGAGCAGCCAGACGAAACCAGCGGGGTGCCTCGGGCCAGCGCTCGGAACCTGGGGAGCCCGGAGACCGTGGGGCGGTGTTCTCCCTGTGTCGCGTGGGTAGGCTGCGTGCCGTGAAAGACCCTCCGGAACTGCTGGTGAAGGGAGGTGTTTTCAGGTGAACAAAAGCGGACGGGATTTGTCAGCAGATTTACGCTGAGGAAAGTGCTGAGGCTGCTGGAGGAGAACGCAGCCCAAGGGAATGCGTGAAAAGCCCCAGAAATGGCGAACAAGAAAGGCGACTGTTTTCTTTCAATTTCTTAAAAGACAAAGGGCTGTTTAAAGTGCAAATGATGCTACGTGTAGTGTGGGGTTTACGGCAAATTGGAAGGGAAGTGCAGGTGGCCTTTAGCAACACGGGGCTTAGAGGTGCCGACCTCTGCCCAGTCGAAAATCCACGTGTACCCTCTGCTTCCCCAGAGGGACGGCCCCTCACTGCCCGTGGGGGTTGGACCCCAGGACCCCCTGCGGATACCCGAGTCTGCGTTGCTCAGCGCCTTTTCGTCAGGCGGCCTGGAGCAGAGCGGGCCGCGGCCCTGCTCACTCTCAGGTCCCCAGTCGCCACCAAACACACTGTTGTTGACCTGGCATCGAACTCACAGAAGCGCAGCCCGGGGAATGGGAAGGCCAACTGTGCACTTATCTTATTTCTTAAGGTTTTATTTTAGGGTTATTTATTTATTTTTAGAGAGGGGAAGGGAGTGAGAGAAACTTCACTGTGTGGTTGCTTCTCACACGCCCCCCACTGGGGACCTGACCCACAACCCAGGCCTGTGCCCTGACTGGGAATCAAACTAGCGACCCTTTGGTTCACCGGCCAGCACTCAATCCACTGAGCCACACCAGCCAAGGCTGTGTATTTTGTTTTTGTTTTTGTTTTTTTTTTGAGTCTGGGTATAAGTGGATCCACACAGTTCAAACCTGTGTTGTTCAAGGTCAAGTGTATGTGACAGTGTACGGAGGGGTGGCCGTGAACGGAACCAGACCGCTATCCCGCTGTCAGGCAGTCTGATCTCAGTCGTGAAAAGCAATAAATACTCACTTAAGCAGACTGATAAAGATCGGTTGTTGTAATCCCCAGAGAAAGTACTAAGAAAATAACGTAGGAGAAATTAGCTGTGAAGAAATTTTTTGAAGTAGTAAAGGAAGTAAAATGGAACACAGAAATACTTGTCTGACGGCAAGGAAAGATGAGTGAAGACAGAAGGGACGTTGCAAGGTGACGGATCTGAGCCGAGTGGTGTCCGTCGCTCCCTAACGTGGGGAGGGGCCAGCAGTGCGCCTGAAGGCAGGGGTCCGAGCAGGTCACGGAGCAGGGAGCGGCCCCGCGCTGACGCAGTCAGGCTCACGTCTGACGCTGGGACCGGGACGGGGGGAGGGGGAGAAAAGGGGGAGGACAGCCGTGCGTGTGGTGGGCGTGAGAGGCCGGGCTGCACCCCTGTTACGAGTGGACAGGAAGGTGGGTTACCTTGCGACCCCAGCACAGAGGAAGCTTCCTCAACAAGCCCCAGATTAGGACGAGAACGACCGGCTGGATCCAGTCCATTCTCGGAGCCTCTGGTCAAGAGAAGACATCACAAAGCACAGGAAAGGCTACGGACTGAGAGGAGAGTCTGTCACCCTGGCCAAGGATTAACACGCAGAAGTCTGCAAGGAGCTCCTGCAGACACTGCACAAGCACCTTAAGGAGAGAGGGGAAGGAGGCACATGTGCTTCCCGTGAGAGGGAGCACAGTGGCCGGCAGACACGGGACAGTCTCCCACTGCGAGCACCACGGAGGCACGTCTGGTGGCACCGTGTCCTGGGGCGCCCCGGGGCTGCCCCCGGGGGCAGGGGGGTGTGCGGTGGTCAGGGCGGCCTCAGGTGGTGCAGTCGGGAGAGCGGAGCGGTCTGGCCGGGAACGTCTGCCCCAGTGGGAACACGGGACCCCGTGCGGCCTGTTCTCTGCGAAGATGAGTCCCAGAAGGCGGGCAGCGCCGCAGGAGAGGCAGAGGGTGGACCCCCGTTTCGTGGACACGTGTGGCGCCCAAGTGGTGAAGGGGCGACGTGGTGGGGCTGGGTGCTGGGCTGCTCCTGGAGGTGGGGGGGGGATCCCGTCACTGCCCGTGGGGGAAGGCGGGCCCCCGCGCCTCATGCCCCTCCCGGTGTTGTCCGCTCGGCTGGAGTGCCCCGGCCTCGCCCTGGGCCCGGTGAGCCCTCCCGGTGCGCCAGCCGGGCGCTGCTGCCCGGCGCTCGGCCCCTGCTCCCGCCTCGTCCCAGCTCGGGGCGCCCGTGGCCCTGCTTCCCGAGGCCTGTCCTCCCGCAGGGACCAGCGCTCAGTCGCGGGTGCCAACACCCAGGACCTGCCTCGAGGTGCGCTAGGGAGAGACGGCCTCGCGAGACCGGGCGGCGCAGACAGGACCGCGCGAGGGCGGCGGCGTCCTGCGGGGAGAGTGGTGGCGTGTCTGCCAGGCATCCGGGTCTGATGGAGACCCTGGGTGGGTGGGGGCTTCCATTCCGCTTGGACGCAGTTCCGTTGACGCGGCGTTTCCAGCCTCCTGGAGGGAGGAGGAGGTGGGAGCTGGCGAGGAGCTGTGTGTGCATCCCAGGGGGCCGCACGGTGCAGGCGACACCCGAGCCCGGGGACCCTCCCCCCCGGAGGGCAGCTGTGGTCCTGGCGTGCTCGCAGCATGGAAGCCCTGGGACCGTCCCAAGGTCCTGCCGGGGTGGCCTGTGGAGGGACAGGCCATGCACGCTGGCCATGTCCTGCAGCCCATCGGGACCATGGGGCAGAGAGGAGTGGTGGCCCTCAGGTGTATCTGCAGGTGTGTCCTCAGGGGAGACCCCTGGGCACCCAAGGCCCTGACCCGTCAGTGTCAGGAGTTGGGGTCAGGGCCTAACGGACAGGGCTTGGGTCCCTGCTGTGGCACCTGGGGAAAGGCCTCCACCCTCTCTGCCCAGGTCCCACACTCCAAAGGCCCCACCCTCGTGGCTGTGATGCCGGCCCGGCGCCACAAGTCCCGTGAGTCTGGGGACCTGATGGTCTTTCTGTTGCAGGATGCAGAGGGCTCCACCTGTTTGCACCTGGCCGCCAAGAAGGGCCACTATGACGTGGTGCAGTACCTGCTTTCGAACGGACAGATGGATGTCAACTGCCAGGTGAAGCCACACCCTTCACCTGCTGGCCCCGCCCCTCCCTGTGCCCCCAGGGCTCCCCCTCCCTGCTGGAGGCTGCTCTGCACACGCGTCCCCTCGGCCACCTCTGCGCTGCGGCCTGGGAGCCCCGCGGTGTATGCACTGAGGTCCCCCCCCCCCCAGCCCCAGTAGGCCCTCAGTCCCCCTGGGCGCCCGTCTTCCCTCCCAGCACCGGCCCCGGTCTGCTCCTGCCGCTGCTCCCGCGTGTGCCCGCCGTCGCCGCCTCCCGCGCCCTGCAGCCAGCGCCCCTCGGTGCGGCACGTCGTGCCAGGTGGTGCCTGGCGCCGCAGAGGGCTTCCTGCCCGCTCCCGGGCCCCACGCAGGCCGCCCCACCGCCCTCCCTCGCTGCCAGCCCAGTGCCCTTGGCGCGGTGTGGGCCCGCCCCCCGCCTCCTCGCGCCATCTCTCTCTCTCGGCGCCCCTTCCTGCTCCGCTCCCGTTTCCCCCTGGGTGGGCTCGCTTCTCCTCTGGGCTGGGCGGCTCCGCGGGGCCGGCTCATGTCCTCTCCGGCTCCTGTCCTCTCCACCACGTCCCCAGCGCCCGGCGCGGCCCGCAGTCCGCCCGCAGGGACAGTCGCTTCAGCTGTGAGGCTGCGAATCCCGGGGAGCTGGGGCGCCGGGGTGCAGAGCCGCCCTGGGGGCCGGCCCTCCCTGCTGCACACCTGCTTCTTGCGGGCGCGGACAGCGTGCCCCGGCCCTGAGGGCGCTGGCCAGGTGTTCCGGGCCCTCTGTCCCTGTCTGTCCCTGAGGCTGGATGTCTGTCTGTCCACGTGCAACGCATGGCTGGCGCCCCGGCTCCGTGCTCAGAGCTCCTGTCGTGGGCACTGAGGGGTCGGCAACCCCTGTGCCCGCGGCGCCTCCACCAGACAGACCCGGGGCCCAGCAGCCGCAGGTCTCACCGTCAGCCCTGGGAGCTGGACGGGTTTCTAGTTCTCGCTCTCGCAACCAGGACGACGGCGGCTGGACGCCCATGATCTGGGCCACCGAGTACAAGCACGTGGACCTGGTGAAGCTGCTGCTGTCCAAGGGCTCGGACATCAACATCCGGGACAACGTGAGTGTCTGGCACGGGCCCCCGGTGGCCCTGTGTGGCCCGCAGTTCCGCGATGCGTTTCTGTGCTGGCCCGTTGCTGGTCCCCCCCCAGGGGCGCATCCGCAGTGCGGCCCTGTCGCCGGCCCCCGTCTGCGACCAGGCCCTGGGCCCCTGGGGGCCCGGCCCTGCCTGGGCCGGTGGTGGCGTGGCGCCGGCTCCTCTCAGCTGCCCCCCGGGGGAGGAGCAGGCGGAGTCTGGGCCGGGGTTTCCGGCTGACCGAGGCCCCGGACTCGGGGTTGGTCTGCGGGCCGAGTGGGTCTGCCTAGGAACGGGGCTGGGCGACAGGAGGTCGTGCAGGTCAGCTCCAAGGCTCGTGTCCTAGAAGGACTTCAGGGGCCACCAGCTGATGGGCTGGGCAGAGGGAGCCTGGGGTTGTCCCCTGGAGGGCTGGGGCTGGGGCCTCCAGGACAGGCAGGCGCCTGTGGCTGTGTCCACCTTCACGGAGTTGCCAATGCCTTCAGTGGACAGTCTGACCACCAGCTCACGGGACGAGACGAGACGAGAGTGCAGGCAGGACCGACACGGACCCCTGTGCGAGCTTGCGGCCCGACCCCGAGGGTCCGAGGCGGAGGCTGGGGCCGCAGGGCCCGGGGCTGCAGCGACACTCGGGGGGGCGACGGGGTCGTGAGCGGAGACACTGCAGGGGAGTTCCCTTGAGGGGCAGCGGGAGGGGACGCGGTGGCCGCCGCAGGGAGGCACCAGCCCCTCTGCCTCGCTGTCACTGGCCTCCAGGCGTGGCCCGCCGCCCCGAGGCAGCGTGGAGGGTCGCAGCCGTGACCTAGGGCCGGGCAGACGACCGACCGCTCTCGAGGAGGTTGCAGCGGGGGGCGGGGTGGGGGGCACTGGGCAGGGCGGCGCTGGCCTCCAGGTCCCTTGCTGTCAGCCCCAGGGCCGGCGGGGTAGGGGCTCTGACGCCTTGGAAGCATTGATGAGATCGTGTGTCCCCTTTCACACGAGGAGACAACTTCGCCTTGACAGCTTTCTGGGCGTCTCATTGGCCGAGAGCACGGTCTAAGGTGCGTGCTGGGAAGGCACCAGCCCCGAAGCCCCACAGCCTGGCGGTGACCCTCTCTCTCTCCCAGAAGGCGCCCCCCACCACCAGGTGGCCGTGTGCACCCACCAAGTGTTCGCAGACGGGCCCAGACTTGGGGTGTCTGAGCCCCTCCTCCCCGCCCTGGGCCTGGGAGCCCGCGGGGTGGCCGTGGCCAGGACTGTGCGGCGTGGTGTGGGGTCCACGGCCAGGATGGTTGTGTCCGCTCCTAGGAAACCGCTGTCCAGGCCGACTCCCCCCCGTTGCCGGGTCAGCCCTGGCCTCTGGCTCACGTTCACCGCGTCGCCTCCCGGCTCTCTGGGGCGCCGGGGGCGAGTGTGGGTTCCGGCACGTCCTCTCGGGCACAGGCGTGTGCTCCCCAAGCCGCCACGGCCATCTTGTGAGGAGCAGATGCTTCAGTGTGGCGGCGCCCAGCTCAGCCGTCCCTCCCCGACCCCGCGCCCCACCGACCTGCCCTCGCCATCTCTGCGGTGTCGGGGTCCGTGCAGGCGTGCGGGCGGGGGTCGTTCGGTCCACCTGCGGTTTCCTGCACGCGGGCGTGAGGCCGTCCCAGCACCTTCACTAGGGAAACCGCCCTTTCCCCAGAGACGACCGGCTCCTCCGTCAGCGGCCGGCTGACCCGAGTGCAGGTCAGCCCCAGGCTCTGTCCTCCTGAGCACGTGCGTCACTCGGCTGGTCCTCTCAGCCGGGAGGTGACCTGGCTGGTGGCCGCGGTGCCAGCGTGCTCTCTGGGGTGTGGCCGGGCCGGCTGCCGCCGGTGGGCCCCGGGCGGCGGGGTCTGGTCACAGAGCCGTGGGCTGCTGTGGTGGGAGGAGAGGAAGGGGCCCCGGAGGAAACCGCACTTGGCTCGGGAGCCCGCAGACGGGAGGGGGACGGGAGCCAGAGGCAGGACCGGGGCAAACACGGCCGAGGGTGGTGTCCAGGACAGGGAGCCCCGGTGGGCCCGGCTGTCAGAGCACACCCCGCCCACCGCGGGTGGCCCCGGACCTCTGGGTGCACCAGAGCGGGGCCTCAGAGGCCCGGGCGGCCCTGCTGGCGAGGACGAGGACAAGGACACTGCTGGTCCCTGCTCTGCTGTGTCTGCCCGAAGCTCACTGGGCTGAAGGCGGGAGCGCACTTAGCGCGGAGCGGGGGCAGGGGGCGGCGAGCCCTGCGTAGAGAGGCGCTGGGCGCCCACCTGGGCCGGGGCATGCAGTTGGCACGGCAGGAACCGGGACCTGCGGGTCTGGGATGCCGCGGCCCCTGAGCCAATAGCGCTCGGTGGACGGCACTTCGTGCCTTGGGTGGGTGCCCCGTCCGAGGCGGAGCTGACCGTCCGCAGACGGGCGCTGCGGCACCCGCTGGCCTGGTGTTCCCAGGGAGACGTGGGCGAGCTCAGCCAGGCTGGGGCCCTGCCGCATGGTGGGGTCGGCGGGGCCTGCCGCCAGGTCAGCCGGGCGCCGGGCTCCTGGCCTCGTCCTCTGCAGGTGTCGGGAGAGAGGCTGCGGCGAGGTCGGACCCCCCCCCCCCGTGTGTTTTCTCTGCCCCCCCGCCTGAGGCCTGGTGCCCTCCCCGGCGAGCGCAGCCACAGGGTGCGTCTGCGTGGGCCACCAGCCCTCCAGCGCCTCCCGCACGTGGAGTTTTCTTCCCGCAGACGTGTCTGCGGAGCAGAGCTCAGCTGCGTCAGAGCTGCCCGTTTCCCCCGAGCCTTACGCAGGCGCTGCCCCACCCGTGGCGGTCAGGGCCGCTCCGGCGCGCGGGGTTGCGAACGGTGGGCGGAAGCCCTGCATGCGTGGGGCGCGCGTGTCCCCGTGCTCTGGCCCGCGGGGCGTTGAGGAGGAGCGAAGTCGGGGCGGGACGCCTCTGGGCCCCGCCCCCGGCCTCACGCCCCGCCCCCGCAGGAGGAGAACATCTGTCTCCACTGGGCGGCCTTCTCGGGCTGCGTGGACATCGCCGAGATCCTGCTGGCCGCCAGGTGTGACCTGCACGCCGTGAACATCCACGGGGACTCGCCCCTGCACATCGCCGCCAGGGAGGACCGCTACGCCTGCGTGGTGTGAGTGCCTCGGGCTCCCGGGTCCGCGGCGGGGGCACCCGCGGTTCGGGGCGGGTCGCCGTGCGAGAGCCCCGGGTGTTTTGGGCGGCTGCGGCCGAGGGGTTAGCCCTCGGGAGGAGCCTTGTGGGAGCAGTGTCCTCTCAGGGTTCGTGGGTTGGTGCTGGCCGAGAGGAGCCCCCGCTCCCCGAGGCCTCGTCCCCCGTCACGCACAGCTGGGTGTGGCCCCTGTGCTCGTCAGCAGGACCTCCGGCGACCCCTGGGGGTGCGGGGAGGTCCCTGGGGTGGAGCACGGCCCTCACGCGGGGCCTCGGCCAGCGGTGCACAGCCATGGAGCGTGCGCCCGCTGTCGCCGTGCCCCCCGGCGGGTGCCTGTGTGGAAACGCCAGTGCTTTGCACTCGCGTCCTGGCCGGACAACAGCAGTGGCCATGGACGGTGGCGGGCGAGGGCTGGGCCCGGGTGCCCGGCGGTGCTCGAGGGCCAGCCGGTGCACCTGTCGCAGGACGAGGGCCCGGGGTCCCGGCGTCGCTCCAGCCGCAGTTGCTCCCCGAGCCTCGGGGCCCGGCTGTCTGGGTCGCGGCCCGAACACCCCGTCGGCTCTTGGTTTCCCTCGCAGCCTCTTCCTGTCTCGGGACTCAGACGTCAACCTGAAGAACAAGGAGGGGGAGACGCCGCTGCAGTGCGCGAGCCTCAACTCGCAGGTGTGGAGCGCGCTGCAGATGAGCAAGGCGCTGCAGGACTCGGCCCCGGACCGGCCCGTCCCCGTGGAGAGGACCGTGAGCAGGTGCGCCCGCGCCCCTCCCCGGCGCCGACAGGGAGGCGTGAGGGCCCGCGAGGAGAGCTGCTCGCCCAGCGGCCACGCCCCCAGCTGGAGTGCAGGCCCCGCCCCGGGCTCGGGGGTGGCCTTGCGGGTCCCCTGCCCGTCACTTCGCTGGAGCAAAGGCGCCCCCCTCTTGTGGCAGGGACATCGCCCGGGGCTACGAGCGCATCCCCATCCCCTGCGTCAACGCCGTGGACGGCGAGCCGAGCCCGAGCAACTACAAGTACGTCTCCCAGAACTGCGTGACGTCCCCCATGAACATCGACCGGAACATCACCCACCTGCAGGTCAGTGCGGCGGGGCCGTCCCGTCCTCCCGGGGCCGCGGCGGGGCCACGGCCGCCGGGGGACCCGGTGCTCCGGTGGCCATCTCCCCCCGAGAGCCAGAGGCAGGCGCGGGTCCCTCCAGAAAGCACAGCCGAGTCTGCAGCCCCTGAAAGCAGAACCTCCCGCTCGCTGGCCTCCCCAGCGAGTGGTGGTTCCGGGGACGGCCGTGCCCCTGCCCGCCCCTCCTGGGGGCCTCGCCCAGCGCCCCTACCCACACACCCCTCTTCCCGGGAGCCCACGCGGCCCCCGGAGCCCTAGAGAACGAGCCGAGAGGTCCCGCCCCCCCGCCCCTGGCTGTCGCTTTCGGAAGGCGCGGGGCAGACGAGGGCCGGGCCGAGCGCCCTGGCGGGTGGGGGTGTGCCCCGCGGGTGACCGAGCCCCCCCCACCCCCCGCTGTCCCCCCCCGCAGTACTGCGTGTGCATCGATGACTGCTCCTCCAGCAACTGCATGTGCGGCCAGCTCAGCATGCGCTGCTGGTACGACAAGGTGAGCGCCGGCTGCCGGGCCGTCGGGCGAGTCCGCTCCCCGGGGGGTGTCACAGCGGTGTCCCCCCTGTTGCGAGGCCGTGGGAGGAGCCGCTGCTGGCCAGGCAGCTGTGGGAAGGCATGGGGGGGGCAGCAGGCACAGGGCTGTGGGGACAAAGCTGTCCTCCAGCCGGCGGGTGACCACGTGCAGGGAGTGGACCGAGGGTCCTGACCTGAGGGGCTGGCCTGGGAGCCGTGGAGCTCACGTGGGGATGGGGGCCCCCCGGCCTGTGCTCGCAGTCGGAGCCCTGCGCTCACTGGCCGGGGCAGGGGCCAGGGTGTCCTGGGGGCGGTGGGGACGCAGGCTGCGAGTGGAGGCCGTGGGCAGACGTGTCTCTCCGGAGTCCGCTGCGGGGGGGTGGGGCGTGAGTGTGGGGGTCTGTCCCGTGGTGTGCGAGTGCTCGTCACGGTGAGAGGCTGCTCACACCTGTAGCGTGGGCGTGGCGTGGAGCCTGGCCCCCGTGAGAGGGCGAGGCCGAGGTCCTGGGGAAGTTCCGGGTGTTCGGAGCAGCCTCTGAAGCCACCGGGGCCGCAGACTCGGCACCGCCGGCCCTGGCGCATCGCCCCGGGGGTCACACAGGAGGGCCGGCCTCGGGGGTCTGCAGGGTGCGAGGCCTGGGCTCTGCAGCCGGCGCCGGGGGTGCCGCGAGGGCGGGCCTGCTGGCGGGCGGCGGGCCCGGAGCAGCGTGTTGCTGTCCGGTGGGCCCGTGTGTGCAGGGCCCTGACGGCACGTCTGCCCCAGGACGGCCGGCTGCTGCCCGAGTTCAACATGGCGGAGCCGCCCCTGCTGTTCGAGTGCAACCACGCCTGCGCCTGCTGGCGGACCTGCCGCAACCGCGTCGTGCAGAACGGCCTGAGGTGAGTGCCCGCGGGGCGGCGGACGGGGCGGCCGGGGGCCGGGAGGACGGGGCGGCCCCGGTGCGGGGGGCTGGGAGCGGAGGAGTGGGCTCGGCCCGGTGTGGCTGTGCACCCACGCCCTCGCCCTGCCGTTGGGGCTGGCTCTGCGTGTGCTGGCGGCACCCCGCACACCCCATGCGCCCCGGTTCTCTGGTGGCCGCACGGTGACGGTGTTCCGGCGCAGACCCCCCCGAGCAGCGCGGACCCCTGGCCCCCGAGTCACGGCAACGGCCACCTGCAGCGGCCCCTGCCCTCCAGAGCCCGTGTCCTGGTCCACAGCCCCCGCAGCTGCGTGGGCCCCGCGGGGCGAGCACGCCGCCGCTCCCGCAGACCGCTGTGACCGGCCCTGCCGCCTCTGCCGCCGTGTGTGGCGCAAAGGCCTTTGGGGCGAGGGCAGACACGCTGGTGTCCTGCAGGGACCCCCAGACATGCCGATGGGCGGGTGGGGTGCCCGTGGCTCTCGAGGCCGGGGACCCAGCCCAGGGTGGTCTCCGTGTCACAGGAGAGGAAACAGGCGCAGAGCGGGCCGGGGGCCACTCTGGGGCGCGCTCCTGGGCCGTGTGGGACGATGGAGCGCGTTGGCGGAGGTGACCGCTGTCTGGGGTGTCGGGGGCTGAGGCCGTGGCCGTGGCGGTGGGTGTGAGCGTAGACCCTGTTCCCCAGGACGAGGCTGCAGCTCTACCGGACACAGAACATGGGTTGGGGTGTGCGGTCCCTGCAGGACATCCCCGTGGGCACCTTCGTCTGCGAGTGAGTGGGGCCCGGGCCGCTGCGGGGCGGGGCAGGGCGGGGCGGGCGGGCACCCTGCCGGCACGGGGCCCCAGGCTCTGCTGGGGCGCTGCCCCCGAGCACCAGGCCCGTCCAGGCTCTCCCTGCGGTCTGTCCCCGCTGCCGCCTCGCCGGAGTTGCCGCCGTCCGCGCTGGTGACATCTGGGCAGGGTCGCCGGCACTCGGGTTGGACACAGGGCTCCGTGTCCCCGCCCCCGTGGCCTGAGTCAAGGGTCGGCTCTGCTGCAGGTGGCTCTCGCAGGCGCGGGCGCAGCTGGTGGGGCCGTGTCACGGCCCCCATGCACTCGCTGTGCGGCCATGCGGGCGACACGCGTGTCCTGTCCTCGCAGGTACGTGGGAGAGCTCATCTCCGACTCCGAGGCCGACGTGCGGGAAGAAGACTCGTACCTCTTCGACCTGGACAACAAGGTAGTGCTCTCTGAGGGCGCAGGCGCCCGGAGCCGGCTGCCTCGGGGACACGTCTGTCCTGGCGGCCCCGTTCAGCACTGGCTCCCTGTGCTCGGGGCCTGGGAGCTGCCCTCGTGGGGCCCCGACCCCGGACCTTGTCAGCCCTGTCCTCTGAACCCACGCCCGTCATCCTGGGGTGCGGCCTGCAGCCACCGGTGGGGGGAGGGGCCTGTGTGCAGGAGCCCGTGTGAGGGGCGAGGGCACACATGGTGCGTGTACACGCGTGTGCGTGTCCCTGGTCGCCCTCCCGGGAGCTAGGACGACAGCTGCCCCGCCGGCGTTCAGCCCGGCTTCCGCTCCACGGGTCTTCCGTGACCTCCGCGCACCGCCCACCTCCTGGTCACTGCCGGTGGGCGTGCGGCTCGGGGCGGCAGGGGACGTCCCCCCGTTGGCTGGCGTGCGGCCGTGCGGGTGCCGTCCCACCGGCCCTGCCTGCTCCCGCGTGTGTGAGTCGGGCCTCCCCAGGGCGGCCGAGCCGGACCTGGTCCTCGGCCCCGTGACCCCGGCGTGTGCGTGTCAGTGCATGGTGGCCGCAGGGGGCAGACGCTGCTCCGTGACGTTGGTGTTGAGCCCCTGTCCCTCGGCAGCTTGTCGGCCGCCTCGCGAGGGCCTCCCCCGGACGGGCTCCTCCTCCCACCGTGGCCTGTCCTCTGTGGCCGACGGAGCCCGGGCGCGCAGCGGTCACGCTCCGTCCCGGGAGCTGCCCTCCCCACTCCACGTGCCTGCGCCGCCGTCTGCTGGACTGGGCACCGCCGGCTGGGGAGACAGTCCCCCACCCCTGGTGGGGGTGCACGTGTGTGTGCTGGCCCTGCCCTCCCAGGGCCGTCCTGGTCTCCTCGCACTCCCGGCTTCCGTGTGGCCGCACGCCTCTCGGCCGGCCCTGCAGACCCCTGGGGGTCCGGGGGTGGGCAGGGCAGCAGCGAGCTCCCGGGCAGGCAGGGCTGCGCCTTCCCTGGGGCTTCACGGGCTGGTGTCAGGCTGCTGCACCCCGAGGTGGTACGAGGGCTTTCTGTGGGGTGATGTCGCGTGTCTGGTTGGATTGTTTTTCTTTCAGGGAGTTTGAGCTTTTGCGGGGAGGGTCAGCTTTATTACCAGTGACTTTTAAGTGTCTGGCTCTCACTTTGACAAACACGTGCACCACCTGGGTGGTCACCACCGTGCACCGGAGCGTCTCCGTGGCCCCGAGCCCCCGGTGGCTGTCACCGGGCGGTCAGCCACGGCAGAGGGCACGCTCTCACCTGCTCGGCCGGCGCTCGGCGGCGCACCTCGAGGTGGGCGTGGGCGTGGGCGTGGCCCCCGCTCCTCCTGCCCTGGAACCCAGTAGGGCTGCTTCCTGGCCGGAGAAACTCAGACAGAGCAGCACAGACGTCTGAACCCACAGGGCGGGAGCCGGGGGGCGGGTCAGCGGACCCGCAGGGTCCGCGCTGCCCTCGGGCTGGGACCGGGGGCTTCGCTGCACCAGGCGCTGGGGCCCAGGGCGCGGGGAGTGCGGCATCGGGTTGGGGGGCGCAGCCGAGGTCCAGGCTCAGGACCCGCCCCCGAGCGTGCGTTCCTGGGCGGCCGCTGTGCCGTCCACGTTCACAGACCCTCCTGCTTCCAGGAGGCCCCCCGCCGGGGCCGGGGCGCAGGGGCAGACGTGGGCGTCCCCGGCCGTGGAGGCATTGGGCCTGTCCCCCCCCCAACCCCACCCCCGCTGTTTTGCGTGGCCTTGGGGCTCGTGGGTTTTCTGCGCTGAGGGCGTCTGGTCAGTGACTGCCGTCCTCCTCTGAGGCTCGGTTAGTCCCGGTGGCCGGTGGGTCCCTCTGGGGCGAGCGCTGTGCTCTCCGCGTGCGCTGCCTGCGGACCCTCGGCTGGCCTGGCCGTGCCCCTGCGACGCCAGGCCTTCTCCTCGGGCGTCCTCGCGGCCCCCCATGCAGGGGCCTCCAGGGTCCGGACCTGCCCTGGGCCTGTTTCTCGGGGGACAGGGCCCGGGTGTGCGCTGCACACTCCGGGTGTGTTCACGCTCACAGCTCCCACAGCACGAGTCTCGTCCCGTCGACGCAGCTGTGGGGGCAGCACCTGCCGGGCCCGGCCTCGCCGCTCAGCTGTGTCCATGTGTCGTGCTCGGTTTAGCTTCTGGGATCTGGCGTCCCTCCCGCTCGTGTGAGACACTCACACGCTTCACCAGTGACGCCCCCGGGAACCTCACCCTCAGTCGTGCTCTCTCCTGGTGTCCGAGTTCGGCCACCTGCCCCCTGCACAGGTCCCCTCGTGTGGAGAAACACGGGCGACCCCCAGCGTGTCCCGTCCCCGCCCTCCCGGGGCAGGGGTGCGCTGCGCCCCTCCTGCCACCCGGGCACCACCTTGTCCGGCTCTGCTGGTGAGCCGTCGCACACGGGTGCCGGCCGCCGGAGCTTGTACACGGAATTCCCGCCTGCTTCTGCCTCCGTGTCTCTGCCGAGGCGCCTGTCCCTGAGGGTGCTGTGCTCCGTGTCGCTTCGCTGCGGACCTGTGGTGGCGGCCGTGAGCCCAGGGCAGGGATGGCGGGTCATCTGTGCTGTTCGGCTGCGCCGTCCTCTGGGTCCTCGTGGGGCACCGGCCTTTCTGCAGCACGTCCTGTCCTCTCGGGGTGGCTGCGGTCCCTGTCCCTGTCCCATCCTGGCCGCCTCCAGCCGGGCTCGGGGTCGGGCTGCTCTGTCTGGACTCCGCGCAGGCCAGGGTCTCCCCGGGGGCGCTGCCCCCCGCCCGGCTGTCCCACCTCCGTCCCCGCTTCCTGGGCGGTTTCCAGCTCAGAACTGCACCCTGCAGGCTCCTCCCTCCCTCCCGCAGAGGCGGCCCGTGTCCCAGGCCTGCTCTGGACACGGTGGGTCTTTGAGACCCTCCAGGAGGTGCTTCCGTGCAGGCCACGCCCTCTGTGCTGGCTGGTGCTCGCCTTTCTGCTCGGGCCTTTGGGGGACCTGCCTGCGGCTCCAGGGGTGGCTTTGCAGGAGTCGGCTTCTCGCTCCCGGGGTCTCCCGGAGGCACTGCCTGCTGGTGAAGGGCCCCGCGGCCACGCCGGGCCCCTTGCCTCTGCCTTTCTCCTCGTCAGCTCCGTGTTCCTGCTCGCCGGGGGACGCCAGGACGGGGGTCGCAGGGTCCTCGGCCCAGGCTGCTCCCAGGGGGCAGCAGGGGTGGCGGGAGACCCCACTGTGGTGTGCACGGCTCCTCCGCCCCTCGGCCCCCCCTGCCCAGCGCACCCCGTCTCTAGCCCGTCCCTCCCGTCACCACTGTCTAAGGAGCCCCGTGGCCCTCTGTCCCCTCCCGTGGCATGGAAGGCCCCGGAGCAGGAGGGGACACTGTCGGTTGGTGGCGTGCCCCCCCCCCGTCGCCCGGTCACCTGGGATCCTGTGCGCTCCCTCCGCCCCCGCGTCCCGGCGGCGGCACTGCAGCCCCCGGTCACGCCGCCCTCGCCCGCAGGACGGGGAGCTGTACTGCATCGACGCGCGCTTCTACGGGAACGTGAGCCGCTTCCTCAACCACCGCTGCGAGCCCAACCTGGTGCCCGTGCGCGTGTTCCTGTCCCACCAGGACCTGCGCTTCCCCCGCATCGCCTTCTTCAGCACCCGCCTGATCGAGGCCGGGGAGCAGCTGGGGTAGGCGGCGCCCCCTCCCCCGCGGGGGGCCGGGCCCGGGAGGGGCCCCCGGGACGGGGCCGAGGGACCTGCCTCCCGGTCCCCGCGGCCCCAGCTCTGCTGTCCCCCCAGGTTTGACTATGGGCAGCGCTTCTGGGACATCAAGGGCAAGCTGTTCAGCTGCCGCTGCGGGTCCCCCAAGTGCCGGTACTCCAGCTCCGCCCTGGCCCAGCGGCAGGCCAGCGCCGCGCAGGAGGCCCAGGAGGACGGCCTGCCCGACACCAGCTCCTCCAGCACCGGCTCCCGATGAGGCGCCGCCGGACGCCGTCCACGCTGCAGTTCAGGGGACGAGAAGTGCTCGCTCGTGGCACCGGAGGGCCACGCCAGGCAGAGGTGCTGAGCCGGGCCTGCGCGGAGAGCGGCCCCTGGACGCCGCGGCACGCACCGGCACAGCCTCGCGCGTTTCTGGTGGTGGCTCGGTCGTTCCCACGTCTCCCGTTGCCTCTCTGCTCCCTGTGGTTCCCGTCCCACCGCTGGGCTGGTGGGGTGTCCAGTCGGCCCAGGTGCCTCCGTTTGGCGTCCGCCAAAGCCACCCTCACCTGCAAGCTGCTCTGTTGGACCCACCTGCCCGAGGTTCCAGTCGCTACACACACACCGTCCCCCCACCACCTGAGAGAGTTTGGGCTGAGCCGCCACAGGTGGAGAAGGGGGGGTTGCTTTTAAAGAAACCCCCGCATCTGGTCCTCCGTCGGGCCTGCCACACGCCGCCCCTCCCGAGAGCGGACGCCCTGCGCAGCCCGCCGGGGCCGTGCCGGCTTCCTGTCGACTTCCGAGCCCCGTGCTATGATGAGGAGAAAACTGATTAATTTTCTACCGCTACCGAACATTAGGACGACGCGAGAATAAAACACAAACCACAGACAACGGTGCTGATTCTGGTGTGGCTTCTGCTCACCATGTGAAATAAATATCAACTGTACAAAGAGAACAAAGTGATTTTAGAATAAAATGCAGGAAAACTTTTTTAAGATGTTAGTCTCGTAGTGTGGATAAACTCGCCACCGCCTTTTGTGTGGTGGCCTGCGGGTCATACCTTTTTTTTGGCATATACTTTTTTAAAGACTGTAACTAGTGCAGTAACAGTGGGGTTTTTGTGCGACTTCTAAAACATTCATAATGCAGTCACGTTTATTTTTTCTGTTGAAACGTTTTTGACAGTTTTGAGAGCAGTCTTTTGGCTCAAAACCATTTCTTGTTCTGTTTTCAATGAAATCAATAAAAAAAAAAACACTTTAAACAAGGTTTTCGGTATGGTGTCCGGTTCCAGGAGGTTTCTCACGGACCCCGCCCTTCCTGGGTGTGCGGTGCTCACAGCCGCCCTCGCTGGGGGAGGCGTCGGGGCCCGAGTGTGCCAGGCCCTGTGTGCGCGTGTGGGGGTCTGCGTGCCTGTGTGCGGTCGGGACACCCGTGGCGGCGGCAGGCGAGTCCCCAGAGTCGGAATCAGATCCCTGCTGGACGGTGACGCAGCCTCTGGGCCCTCCACTGCCGCGCCTGTGTGGCAGCCCCCGGCCCGTGCCCTCACGCAGGGCTGGGCTCACGGCGCCAGCCTGTAAGAACACGGCCTCGTGCTCCGTATACACGGTCACCAGTGGGCCGTTTTCCCACACTGCACCCACAGCTGCTGCTGCTGTGCTGGCCGGTGAGCCGCCCGTGCAGGGTCACTGCCAGGCCGGTGGCTGAGGCCTGGTGTGCACACCGTCCATCCCAAGTGGACAGAGCTGACGCCCCTTTCTTCAGGGCTTTACGGGCTATTGGCCCGTCCTGTGCACAGGTGCGGGATGGGGGTAGACAGGTAATGGGAATCAGGACCCAGCTGCAAACCTTTGGGGCGTTGGGGGGACTGTCACAGCAGGTCCCAGCCTTTTTAAACGGGACCCCAGGGCTTGGCTTTGAGGGGCCCAATGACTGCCCAGGGTTAAGGGGCTCAGCAGTGCACCCCCCCTCCTGCGTGCACAGTGGCCCCTGTCAGTTCTGGGGGCACACAGCAGGCCAGTGAGACGCAGGGACAGGTCCTGGGGACGGCCACCCACACACACGTGGAACATGGGCAAAGCCCCGAGTTGCTGTTATTTCTGCACACGTCACACCTTGCACAGCCCCAGGTTTAAACAGCCCCAGAACTGGAAGGAGACCGTGAAACCTCTGTACGTGCCCTTCGACCCCGCCTGCCGGGGGTGCGCCTGTCAGGTCCTGGGCCAGAGGGTTCCCTGGCTGAGGGCGGGCTCCTGCCCCCAGGCGACGGCGGAGTGGCCCAGTCCCTGCTGGCCCTGCGCCGGTGCCGTACCTGCGTGCATCCGGGACATCCGCCAGGTGCCCATCTCTGCCTCCACCAACAGGCTGCGGTCCCCACAGCCCACGCCGAGGTCATGCTCACTGCTTCCAACCGTCGAGCAGAAAGGGTTCCTTGCTGTGCTGTTTTGCGTGGGCCGCTGGTGATGGATAAACCGAGTGTCTGTCTTTACTTATTACAGATCCGCTTTTCCTTTTCTGCGAGTCGCCGTTGGGCAAGATCGTGTGTATTGTGGCTGTCGGTGTGCGGGAGCGCTTTGCTGGGTGCGGCTCTGTGCCCGGCCACGGAGGACGCCACGCGGGAAGAAGCCTTGTGGCTCCTGACGGCTGCGTACGGGAAGCCCTCCCCCTCCGAGTTAGCACTCGCTCCAGGTTTTGAAGGTTCGTTCTTGGATCCAGGTGGAATTCATTTGGCGTGTGAGGCGAAATAGTCTCAGCCTGAGGGTTTTAAGTGAGGTGTGAAGTCCACGTGCAGCCCGGCCAGTTCCGAGAGAGGCCTCTGCCCGTGGGGCGTGTCCCTGCCCAGGATGGGGGCCCTTCCGTCACCCCAGCAGGCGTCCCCTGTTCCGACTCCTGTCACCAAGGCCTCTTCGGCTTTCTCTGTTCTGCTGGGTGGGCAGGGGCCCCTCCTGGTGCTTTGAGTCCCGTTTCCAGACTCCGGGACCGAGTCCGCCCCGGGCGCCTGCTCGGGGCGTCCCGTGCGTCTCCGCATCAGGCGCTCTCCCTGTCTCGGAGAGCCGCTTTTCACCTGCTCTGGGGCCGGCCCCTCCTCAGACGGAAGAGCTCCCACGTTGCATCGCAGGCGCCAGTTCTCCTTCGTTTCCGTGGGAGCAGACGACTTACCTTCGCCCAAGTCCGGTTTTTCTCTGCTCTCGTTCGGTCTGCAGTTTCTCCATCCTGGCGTACGCTCGCCTACCCCACGGCTGACATTCTCCCGTTTTCTTCAAAAGCATCGCAGTTTCAGGGTTTACGGTCTGGTCTGTGCTCCCCCTTAACTAGCATCTGTGACGGAGGGAGGTGGGACGCAGCCTGGCCGTGCCCACCGCGGTCACCCGGGGTTTCCCAGGAGTCCCTCCCGGCCCGCCGGCCTGTCTTCTTGCGCCGCCTCCGCCTCTGCATGCGCAGCGCCAGTCGCCGCCAGTCCCCGCCCTCCAGCTCTGTGGCGACGGCACCCTCTGCCCAGCTCCCCCAGCCCCTCGCATGAACTTCAGAGCCAGCGTCTCCACTCCCACAGAAAAAGGCTCGTGGAATTTTTTCAAGTTTTTAAAATCGACTTTCCCGTCATATGACTGGCTGACCATGCCATGCACCCACTCCAAGCATTTCGTGGGGTTTGATGTGAAGAACATCTCTGTTTCCCCAGAAAGCCCCCCGGGGGCCACTGCTCGGCCCCGGGAGACGCTGACCTGCTCTTGTCATCATAGGTAAATGTCACCCGTTCCAGAAGTTTCTGTCACTGGAACCACACAGCATACGGCGTGCTTCATCATGGTTGGTTTCATGGGCTTAACACACCATTTTAGATTTTAAAACAAAAACAGAAAGACTAGAAAACAGTATGGAACTTCCTCAGGAAACTAAAAATGGATCTGCCTTTTGACCCTGCGATTCCACTGCTGGGACTCTACCCTAAGAACCCTGAAACACCAATCCAAAAGAACCTGTGCACCCCAATGTTCACAGCAGCACAATTTACAACAGCCAAGTGCTGGAAGCAACCTCGATGCCCATCAGTGAGTGAGTGGATCAAAACACTGTGGTACATTCACACAATGGAATTCTGTGCAGCAGAAAGAAAGGAGCTCCTACCCTTTGCAGCAGCGTGGATGGAGCTGGAGAGCACTATGCTAAGTGAAACAAGCCAGGCAGTGAGGGACAAATACCATGTGATCTCACCTTTAACAGGAACCTAATCAACAAAACAAACCAACAAGCAAAATACAACCAAAGACACTGAGATAGAGGACAGACTGACAGTGACCAGAGGGAAGAGGGGAGGAATTTCAGGAGAAAAGGGAAGGGTTTGCAGGAACAAGTATAAAGGACACAGGGACAAGAACTAAGGGGGGTGGAAATGGGAGGGAGGTGGGGAGGGTTGGGTGGGTGGGTTGGGATGAGAGTAAAGGATAGAAAATTGTACTGCAACAACAATTTAAATAAAATAAAATAAAAAAACAGAAAGACTGCAGGCACAGTACAGAGACCCTTTTTCTCTGAGAACAGCCAACTCTGTGCCCCGATCCCCACAGGATGAGACCCAGCTACAGCTGGGCACCGGGCGCCAGGCCCCGGGCCTCCGTCGCCACCACTCCTCCGTCCTGGGCTCGGGCCTCCTCGGACGCCTGCGAGCCACGTGTCCCTGCCCTCCAAGCCGCTGTTGGGGATGGCCAGTGTCTTTGCAGAGGCCGTCTTGTTTGCGGTGGCTGCTCTGGGCCCACAGCGTGGGCACCTCCGTGAGGGTGGCCACCTGTGCCCCTCTGTCAGCGCCCCACTCCCCGGCCTTACGCTCTCAAGACTGATTGTTCCTCTTTTTGCTTTAGTTAGCCAAACAGCGTTGCTTGTAACTTGCAGCTTGTCACTTTCTCACCGGTTTCCCTCTCGCAAGAGCTCCCTGAGATTTCGTTACCGCAGACTCCACACCTTTGCGGTGTGCCACGCAGTAGTGGCGTGTGCACAGCTGCGCGCAGACACGGCCACGGCCCACTCTGCAGCACCCCCAGCACCCCCAGAGGGACCCGGGGTGCACTCGCTTGTCCCCAAGAGCCCACCTCCCGCAGCCCTGGGCCTCCGCTGCTCTGCTCCATCTGTGGAGCCCTGCCGTGGTCACAGCGCTGGGACCTCTGGGGCTCCTTCCGTGGGCGAGGTGGCGTTCACGTTTGCCCTGCAGCAGGTGGCCATGCCTCCTCTCCCTGGCTGCGTGGCATCCCATCCTGTGGGGCTCTCGTGAGTGATGCACTGGTGCGCACGGATGCACAGTTCTTGTGTGGACGTGCGTTTTTGTTCCTCTCGGATCTGTGCCTCGAATTGAAGCCGCTGGGCCACGCAGCAAGTCCGTGTTCAACCTTCTCAAGAACTGCCAGGCTGCCTTCCGAAGCGGCTGCACGGTTTTCTATCCCCAGCAGCAGTCACGAGGGCTCCTGTGCCCCACGCCCTGGACACCTGCCCTGTGCTTCTCGTCCAGGTCGCATCCCCGTGGGTCTGCATGTGCCTCGCTGGGGCTGTGATTCAATTTCCACTTTTCTCATGACTGTTCATTTCGAGCATTTTTAAAAACGTGCCTGTTCGCCATTTGTGTGTCGTGTTTGGAGAAATGCATTCATGTCCTTTGTCTGTTTTCAAGCTGAGTTGCAGCTGCCCCTGTGCCACACACCCTGTGCAGCCGAAAGTCCGAGTTCAACTTTCAAGCCCCAAACGCCACTGCTGGTAGCTGCTGGTGACCAGAAGCCTTACTGATAACAAACAGCTGATAAAAGTTTGTGTGTTGCATACCGTATTCTTACAGTACAGTGAAACAGGTCAAAGAAAGTGTTACTAAGAAAACCATAAGGAAGAGAAAACACATTTGAAGTATTTATTGAAAAAAAACCCCACGTGTAGGTGGCCTCACACGGTGCAAAATGTGTTGTTCAAAGCTGGCTGTGTTTCTTTTCTGATTACTGAGTTGGAAGAGTTTTATTTATTTATTTATTTTTAATCCTCACCTGAGGATATTTTATTACTGATTTTAGAGGGAGGGAAAGAGAGAGAGAGAGAGACATCGATGTGACAGGGAAACACTGGTTGCCTCCCATTTGTACCTGGGCTGGGGATCAAACCTGCAGTCTTTCCATGTGTGGGGCCATGCTCCAACCAGCTGAGCCACCTGGCCAGGGCAAGGTTTTCTTTTCTTTTTAAAAAAGATTTCATTTATTTTATTTTTAGAGAGAAGGAGAGGGAGGGCAAAAGAGGCGGAGAGAAACATCATCGTGTGGTTGCCTCTTGTGCGCCCCCCTCCTGAGGACCTGGCCTGCAACCCAGGCCTGTGCCCTGACTGGGAATTGAACTGGCGACCCTTACGTTTTCAGGCACGTGCTCAATTCACTGAGTCGCACCAGACAGAGCTCAAAGATTTTGTTTATTTATTTTTATTCAGAGAGGAAGGGAGGGAGACAGAGAAGTATCACTGTGTGGTTGACTCTCGTGCGCCCCCTACTGGGGACCTGTCCTGCAGCCCAGGCATGTGCCCTGCCTGGGAATCAAACCAACAACCCTCTGTTTTTCAGGCTGGCACTCAATCCACTGAGCAGCATCAGCCAGGGCAAGATTTTCTCTTTTATTGAGATAAAATTCACATAATATAAAATTTACCATTTTACCTATTTTAAAGTACAGGAAACAGTGGCTTTTAACACATTCACCATGTCGGGCGACCATTGCTGCCATCTGATTTTACAAAACTCACATTACTCGGGGAGATGCCGGTGGAAACCACAGGGAGACACCGCCTCCCACCCGGGAGCACGACCATGAACAGGAGACACGTCTAAGTGCTGGTGGGGACGTGGAGGGAAGGGGGCCGCACCCCCTGCTGGCGGGAGTGTGAGCTTCTGCAGCTGCGGTGGAGAGCATGGAGGGTCCTCAACAGATTACAGTTAGACCTGCCTTATGACCCAGCACTTCCACTTTTGATTATTTAACTGAACAAAATCAAAGTAGCATTTTGAAGGGTTTGGGTTTTTTTTTTTTCAGAGGAGAAGGGAGGGATAGAGAAACATCAGTGCATGGTTGCCTCTCATGCGCCCCCTACTGGGGACCTAGCCTGCAACCCAGACCTGTGCCCCTCTGGGAATCGAACTGGCGACCCTCTGGTTTGCAGGCCGGTGCTCGGTCCACTGAGCCGCACCAGCCAGGGCTCAAAGAGTCTTCTGCATCCCTTGCTCAGTGCAGCCTCGTTCACAGCCGTCAAGACGAGGAAACGGTCAGCATGCCCACCAGTGGGGGAGTGGGCACAGAAGATGGGCCCACATACGCAGTGGGGCACGTGAGCACGGCCCCAGATGAGAAGGGGGTCCCACCGCTGCGCCACGTGGACGGGCCGTGGGGGCGTTGCACTCGGGAGGCGGCTCGGAGGAAGGCAGACGCTGTCCCTCGCACGTGGGGCTGAAAGAGCCGGCCTCACTGCAGTGGTTGGGAGTGGGACGTGGGGAGGAGCTGGTCCAGGGGACAAGCTGGCAGCTACAAGGTGATTTATTCTGAGCTAGGTGGCCACAGTTAATGCCGCGCTGTGGACTTGAACATCAGTAAGAGCAGACCTGACGTGTTCTCACTGCAGAACCTAAGGCGACCCTGTGAGGGATGAAGGGGGGTCCTTTTGCAATGTGCACATAAGTCACACGCCACGGTATGTGTCCATCACGTGTCAGTAGAACTGCAGCGAACACAGGGACAGCGGCCCTGGCTGTGAGCCTGGGACAGTGGGCAGCACCACGCCCTCTCCAGCCCCGGGCAGGACCAACCCGGGACCCCCAGCAGCGCCTGCAGGACCACAGGGGATGCCCCGCTGCTCCATGTGACCTCCCTCAGCCGCTGGAGCCTCCCGGGGCGACCCAGAAGGCTGGAGGTGGGCCCGCTGCGTGAGTGGGATGGAGGGCGAGGGACGGGGGTCCTGCCAGAAACGGGGGGCAAGGAAGCAGGGCACCACTTCCTCCCCCAGCAGGCCGCGTGCGCCCTGCCGGAGGCACTCCGGACGAGCTGTTCATTCCCCCTAACCCACCCCCATGACGGCCGCCTGCGGGACGGGAGCTGCTCGTCGAGGCAACGGCACCTCAGCCCCGAGGCTGCGGGTCTCCCTGGGTCTCAGCGGTGTTCGGCAGACGGCCATGCCCCTCGGACACCTGCTCCTCCCAGGGCCCTGGACACTGCTTCCCAGGCCCCCACCCAGCCTGGCCCAGGATGCCGGCTGCTCCTTCTCATCCTGTCCTGTGCTTGGCTCTGGTGGAGCGGAGCACCCCGGGGCCCTGTCCTCTCCCTCCGGTCCGGGCAGGTGTCTGGCAGCTGAGAGGTGCAGCAAAGCCTTGAGGGAGAGAGCTGACCCCCGCCCCACCTCCCCGCCAGCTCCTGGGCCTGCAGAAACCGGGCAGGGAGCAGTCACTGGAGCTAGAGAGAGAGGAAGGAGGGTAGAACGGGTGCCCGACAGGTGCCGGGACCTTCCACCACCTCGTGAGGCCTAAGCCGTTCCCGTAGGAGGGAGGCGCGGGCATGAAGGCAGCCACATCACTCTCTGCCCAGCGCCTGCTGCGCTCCTGGGGTGGACCCAGCCCGGTGAAGGCGGGGCAGTGGGCGGGGCTGTCAAGAGCATTCAGTCCCGGCCCCCCACGACCCATCTCTCCAGCAGGGACTCGGCGCTGTGCACCCCTTGCCCTAACCAGCCGCCCACCCGACACCTCCACTTGGGTGTCAAGTTCAACCTTCTCATTCCCCGCTTCCCCATCCCAGTGACCGGCTCCAGCGCACAGTCGCCTGGGTCAGGAGCTGAGAGCTGCCAGCTTTTCTGTCAAGCGTCACAGCCACCACGTGGGCAGTTTGGTCAGCGCTGCGGGGGCGGGGGGGCATGCTGCCCCCTGTCCACACCCTCGATGGACTCGGTGTCTGTCTGTGACACGCCTGCCGGCGGCCTCCCCACAGCCTCCCCCGGCACGTCCCACCCAAAGGAGCCCTGGTTTCTTTGGGGGCCACGTCGCGCCGTCCTCCGCCCCACGCCCGCTCCCACCCTCTCGAAGCCCAGGTCTCCCCAAAGCAGTTAAGGGAGCAATGCGCGGGGGAGCTCCTGAGAAACTTCCTTCGTTATGAAAGGATACCACGTATTTATTTTTAAAACCGGGTGTCCTTTCTGCGCCTGCTGCTTCCTTCCCGTTTGGGAGGGCAGGGTAGAGAGGGCGCCTGGCGCTGCGGCGGCCACGGCGCGCCAGGAGGCGACGAGCACGTGGAGGCCGGGGCAGGGGGGAGAGAGGGGGTCTGCACTCCTGGGGGGCTCCTTCCTCACTTTCTACTGCGCGCGGCGCGCACCGCCGGAGAGGCCGCCGGGAGCGGGCACGGACGGCGCGCCTGCCTCCGAGGGCCCCCTAGGCGCCGGCCCGGCGGCCTGTGCCCCGCGCAGCAGCCAGGGGGCGCCTGTTAGACCGGCGGTCAGCTGACCTCTCCGCTCGCCGCCACCTCGTCACTCCCAGGGCTGAAGGCAGAGCCCCGTGTCCTGCTTCTGCTCCTCCGCGCGCGGCCCTCGGGGCCGTCCCTGAGCTCCTGCGGCTCAGTGTCCGGAAGCCTCCTGGCCCGTCGCTCGCCATCTCGTTTCCTGGATGTGCCCCGGCCGCCCGCACTGCCTGGAGCCGCCGGGGGCGCTGACTTGCTCTGGATGTCCCGGTCCAGGGGGGCCCTCTGCCCCTCACCAGGAGCGGTTCCGGGAGGGCTGCTCACCCGAAGTGCACACTGCACGGGATGGAGTAGATGGTCGCGTGGGGCCCAAGCAGCGCGTGAGAACACCCACGACTGCTTGTGGGAAGATGTGAGCCCGCCTAGGCCGGCGGGAGCCCGGGCCCTGGCACCCGGTGGGTGCTCCGTGGGGGCGCTGGGGAGGAACGAACCAGCAGCACACAGCAGGCGCCGTTTCCATTTTCACTGGGTGAAAGGTGGAAGGGCGGAACCTACAGCCAGATTTTGAAGCTGATTCCGTGCGTGTTGATGGGAAGGTCTCAGGCATGACAGAGGCTGAGGGGCCCTGGCCAGGGCGTGCGCCCCGCCCGCCAGACCAGGGCGTCGGAAGCGTCGCCCCTAAGGCTGTCGAAGACACGGACAGGGTGGGGAGACAGCGCCCGGGAGCCCGATCGTGGAAGAAGCCGGTGGTCCAAAGTGGGGGTGGGGTGGGTGGGGGAGGGGAGCTGCCAATGTAGCCGCCGGGATGTGGAACGAAACCTGGGAACCAGGGGCCCGCCCTACCCCACTTGGGCTGGAGCATCGCACAGCTGGCGATGCCTTCTGGGGTGGGGATGGGGGCAGGTTAGAAGGATCCACTTGGGCTGCTCAGCTCGGCCGTCGAGGACTCCTGGCCCCGCCCAGCTCCTGACCACAACCGCCCAGTTCAGCATTTGGCTAGCGCCCTGATCGGGCACAATCCCTACGCACCGAGGGCGCCGGCTCACCGGGCCCGCCCGGCCCTTGGGGCGCAGCCGGGGAGGACCCGGGGGCCCAGGCGCAGCCCGAAGGCTGGCGACGGGGACAGGGCGGGGGCGGCCGGCTGGGGGCGGGGCGGGCAGGATCCGGGCGGGCGGGGCGGCGCGGATTGGCCGGGCACCGCCATGTGACCGGCCCCTTATAGGGCGTGGTGCGGGCGGCGGAGTCGGGTGCGGCGGCTGCCGGGCCGGGCGAGGTCCGGTGTGGGTCCGGCAGCTCCGTGGCTGCTCCGCTCCGAGCGCCTGGCGCGCCCCGCGGTCTCCCTGTCGGGGCCGCCGGGCGGGGGATGCGCGCGGCGCCCGGGAGCTATGGTCCGCTTTGGGGACGAGCTGGGTGGCCGCTATGGGGGCACCGGCGGCGGGGAGCGGGCCCGGGGCGGCGGGGCCGGCGGCGCGGGCGGCCCTGGCCCGGGGGGTCTGCAGCCGGGCCAGCGGGTCCTCTACAAGCAGTCGATCGCGCAGCGCGCGCGCACCATGGCGCTGTACAACCCCATCCCGGTCAAGCAGAACTGCTTCACCGTCAATCGCTCGCTCTTCGTCTTCAGCGAGGACAACGTCGTCCGCAAATACGCCAAGCGCATCACCGAGTGGCCATATCCTGCCGGGGACCGGGCCGGGAGGGGGGCCTCCCGGGCGCGCAGGCACGGGGAACGGGCGCGGTGTCCGGCGTCTGCTGCCCGCCGGGTGTGGGAGGGGAGGCTGGGCCGGGGGCCGGGTGGGTCGCATGCGGCGCTCAGTGGCCATTTTTCCGGGGCCAGGAAGAGGGTGCGACCCGGAGACTGCCGGGCGAGGAGGGGGCGGGGCGGGGCTCCGGGGCCCCTCTCCGCGCGCCGCGGGTGCGTGTGTGCGCACGCGCGCGCGCGCGCGCGTATGGTCGAGGTGGCGGCTGCGGGAGCGGGGCGTACGCTGGGTGGAGCCCCCTGGTCGGCCCGGAGTCGTCCCTTCACTCGCTCGGTCCAGACGCAGAGCGCGCGGCCGCCCCGGAGGGCACCCGAGGGCTAAGCCGGGTCCGTGTAGGTGGGAGCCTGGCGTGGCGGGGTTCGTGCGCGTGCCGGGCTGCAGGTGTGGGCTCGGGTGTGTGTGTGCGCGCGCGCGCGCGCGGGCAGGACGTGAACCTCGAGCTGCGCGTGCGTGCGTTCAGGGCTATCAGGACATACATGTTCACGTGCCTGTGTAGCTACATGTGGCTGTGTCTTTAGGTGGGAGTGCGCCTGCGCGGGGTCCCTCCTCTGGCCTCGGGCAGGGGGCGCACCACCTCCTCCTCTTGGGGCTCGAGGCTGGGCGGGGCCGGGCGGCGCTGTCCGTGGTGCTGACAGCCACCGGGACGTGCGTACCAGCGGGCTGCCACGACTGCAGATGCCCCTCGGGTGGCCCCTAGAAAGGAGGGTGGGAGGCAGGGGTGGGCTCCGTCCGGAATGGCCATAGGCCCTCGGAGGCCCCCTGGCGTCTGCTGGGCTGCTGCTGACCGCGGCCCCCGCACCTCCCCTCCCCCTGGCGCCTCCCAGCCAGTCCTTAACCCACGCACTCCCTTCGAGTACATGATCCTGGCCACCATCATTGCCAACTGCATCGTGCTGGCCCTGGAGCAGCACCTCCCTGATGGCGACAAGACGCCCATGTCCGAGCGGCTGGTGAGTGTGCTGGCGGCTGCTTGTCTGGACCCAGACCCTCCAGCATCTGGGGCAGCACGTCTCCCCTTCAGCTGGAACGGCCCGGCCCCTCCCTGAAGGGGCAGGAGGACTGGAGCGGCCAGGTCAGCCCCTGATGGGGGGTGCTGCTCGGCCTGTGTCCCCAGCCACCAGCCATCCCAACGGGCCGTCCACTGCAGCCTTAAGCCTTTGTGAGCTAAGAGCTGAGAACTAAACCTGGGGTGTGTGTGTGTGTGTGTGTGTGTGTGTGTGTGTGGCGGGGACTGTCCCTAAAGGCACGTGGCCAGGAGTGTCTGGCTCTGAGGGCCCTCAGGAGGGGCGGCTGCGGCAGGGCCCTGGGTCTGTCGGCCTCTCCTTCAGAGCTGTCTCCTTGGCTTGGAGTTGCTTCCCCGGGGGGCCGCTCCAGGCCGTCTTCCAAAACATCTTGCGTGGTGCCCACCAGCTGCCGCCTCAAGCTCCCAGACTCCTGCTGAGGCTCAGGGCCCATGCCGCGGCGGGGTCTGCTCTGGAAGAGCGTGGGGGCCGCTGGAGGGGTCTGGCTTGCTCAGTGAGCCCCAGGCCAAGGTGAGGCTGTGTGCCCTGGCCCCCAGCTCTCCCAGCCACTGGGCCCTTGACGTGGGCAGGGGAGGGGTCCGGAGAGGGAGCCGCTGAGGCCTCTGCCCTGCATTCAGCAGGTGATTGGCCCTCCCCAAGCCTCTCTCCGTAACCTCAGTGGAAATGAGCGGTCACAACACGGCCTGTGTGGTGTCAGCCCGGGCTCCGGACCTCCCTGCTGCCCCTGCTACAGGCCCGGTGGTGGGAGGGGGTCAGTGAGGCTGTCCTGGGCACTCACAGGCAAGCAGGGTGCTGGGAGAGGCAGAGAAGGGGTCGGCCATGGCAGACTGCCGGGGCGGGAGGCGGGGGGCGCACTGTTGGAGCGGGAGGGACCGCACGGCCCCGCCCCCAGCAGAGTGGGGTGAGTCTGTGCCGAGTCTCACCCGGGCGGGGGGCTGGGTAGGCCCCTTGGCTGCTCTGGGCCTGGGCTCCTGCTGCTGTGTGCTGGTGCCGAGCGTCCCCCCTGGAGGGCAGGGACGAGGGGAAAGGCAGAGGGAACGGGCGATTCCTGCGGAGTCTCAGAGGCCAGGCCCCAGGTCCCGCCCGCCCCCCGCCGCTGGTCATACCCCCGAGGAAGCAAGCGTGGCCGGGGTAGGGCCGGAGAGAAGCTGGCCAGGAGGCCGGGAGGCCAGAGTGCAGCGGCCGGGCTCTGGCCTGTCCCCGCCGAGTGGCAGGCAGGCTCGTGGGCCAGCAGGGCGTGCACCCAGGTCCAGGCTCCTGCCTCAGCCTGGGAGGGCTGGCTGGCGGTGATGGGCGCGAGCCCACTGCCAGGGTTGGGGGCTGAGCCTGGGCCTGGCCCAAGGCCTGAGGAAGCCTTAGCTGACCCCGGCCCTCTGTGCTGGCCCCCCTGGCTGGACAGACGGCTGGCTCCGAGCTTGGCCTGGAGAGGTGGTGGGGGTGGCTCTCGTCTGGCTTGGAGGCTGGTGCTGCCACCTGGGAATCGGCTGGGGCTGGGGGAGCGGGTGGCCTGGGTGGTAGGGACCCTCTATGGCTCCCTGTCTTGGGGTCTCTGCTTCTTGCCCACTCACCACTTTCCTGAGCAGCCTTCAGCAGGACCCTCCTTTTCAGGGCCACCCACCTTTGTCAGTGGCCAGTGCCTAGCCATCCGGTCAAGGGCAGAGCTGGGGAAGAGCTGTGAGGCCAGGGGTCGAGCTGGGGCCTGCCCACCTCCCCCAGGCCTGCCCTTCTGTCTGCTCAGAAGCTCCCTGGGAAGATGTGTGTGCAGGGCCCCACAGCCTCCCTGGGCCGGCAGGGGAGAGGGGGCCGTCCCGCCACACCAGACCAGAGGCCCGGGGGCAGAGTCGGATCCTGGCATGAGTCAGCATCGGGGTGGCAGGAGGGGGAAGCTGGGCCGTGATGGACACTCCACACAGGGAGGCCCGTCAGCTGCGGGCCCCGGGGACAGGGCTGAGGGCTCGAGGGGTGGGGCCCTCAGGGCCAGGGTCCCCAGGGGAGGAAGGCACAGGCCGCGGTCCTGAGCGGGAGCCGGCAGAGCCGCCTGGGCCCACCTGCCCCCAGTGCCCTGCAGCCCCAGCCCCGCGCCCCGCGGGCAGGGCCACCCCCGCCTGCTCTCGTGCGGCAGGGCTGGCGTGCAGGCGCCCGAGGGCTGTGCCCGGTCGTCCCGTGCTGGCCTCCCCGTGCGTCCGTCCCTTGGCCGCCTCCCAGGCGCACCTTCCCCCAGGCACTCCCTGCCACCCCCCTGGCGGCCGACCACGCGCTCTGCGTGCGCCCACCTGGTGTCCTCCCCATCCGGGCTCTGCGGCTCGTCCCCACCTTGCGCAGCACCGGAGGGCCAGGCCCGCCCTGCTGGGCTGAGGGACGTGCCGCTGGGGTGGAGCGAGGGTCGCCGCAGTGCCCGGCTCCATTCCCGTGTCCCCCCTGCTCCCTCCGGCCGCAGAGCCTTTCCTGTGGCCAGCCGGCTGACCGGCCGCCTCCCCTGCGCAGCCTCCCTGGGCCCAGCGTGTGTGCTCCCGAGAGCTGCATGTGTCGGTCATCCAGAACACGTGTGTCAGGGAACACGCGGGCCCTGGCGGCACTCCCGGCAGCCAGGGCACGGGCCCCGGGAGCCCAGGTTCGGGCCCAGGTGGCCCCAGATAGGCTGTGAGTGTCCGGCCCAGGCCCTCAGCCTCTCTGAGCTTCAGTTTCTTTTGGGGTGGGGTTAGCGGTAGCACTCACTGGCGGGCGCTGGAAGGGCTGCCCTGGCCGTTGCAGGAAAAGCCCGGGAGTGCGAGTGCTATCGCCCCCCCCGCCCCCCCCCCCGCCCACCTCGCTGCGGGGCTGCTGGGGGGCAGCCCAGCCCTGCCCGTGGGGCCCGGGGCGTGGAGGGGCTGTGGCAACCCGGCACTGTGCTCTCCCCAGGACGACACGGAGCCCTACTTCATCGGCATCTTCTGCTTCGAGGCCGGGATCAAGATCATCGCCCTGGGCTTCGTGCTGCACAAGGGCTCCTACCTGCGCAACGGCTGGAACGTCATGGACTTCGTGGTGGTCCTCACAGGGTAGGTGGCCTGCGGCGGGCCCTGCGGGGGCCGGGGGGCCTTCCCGGCCCCGCCCGAGGCGGCTGGCATGGCTGCAGGGGCCGCGGGTGGGGAAACCTCCGCTCGCCGCCCGTGTGGGACCGAGAGGCGGCTGTGCTGCAGGCCTCGGCCGGGGGGCAGCTCGCAGGGACCTGTCCTCGGGTGAAGCTCACGGGCCGAGTCACGGGGGCGGCTGCTGGCTCTGTGGCCGCGTCACCCCGGGGGCAGGATTCCCAGGGCAGGGGGTGGCCTGGGCCGTGGCAGCGGTGTGTCAGTGGGGCGGCCGCTGCGAAGGTCTCCCCGAGCCCTGGGGCTTGGCCACGTGGGGGTGCACGTGGCCCCCGGAAGCTGTGGATCCTGCGGCCTGCCCACCACTTTCCTCTTCACTGCGGCCCTGACGGTGGCCCACGGCAGCCTGGGGCCTGGAAGTCGACCCAGGGGGGTGGGCTGGGGCCTCAGTTTCCCCATCTTCCTGATGGGTGCCGTCGCGCCCCCGCCCTGCTTCTTTGCCCACCAGCTGAGGGCAGGGCTGAGGTCTTGCTTGAGCCCGGGGTGGGGGGGGTGAGCACTGGGGGAGTTTGCGGCACAGCCCTGTCTGCACGGCCCCGTGGGCCCTGCCCTGAGCCAGGGCCTCTGGTCTGTTTTTCCCTGGAGACTCCAGGCCGAGGTGCGGCCAAGTGGGCCCCACAAGGCCCGGAGCACAGGCCCGTGTGAGGGGAGATGAGGTGCCTCTGGGTGCTCCCGCCTCGCGCTCCCCCTGGGTCCTTGGGCCGGTGACAGCCGCCGGTCACCAGCGCTGATGGGACCCCGCTTGCTGTGTGTGTGTGTGTGCTGACCTCTGTCCCACTGATGACCCTTGGGGGTGGGGCGGGGGGTGCCTGGCGGGCAGGCACTGCCGGGCGGCGGGGAGGGTCGGAGTGTCACTGTTTACGTCTCTCTCCGTCCCTCTGGACGTGAGTCTCTGAGGACCAGAGCAGCATCTTATTTTCCAGGGTGTCCCCGGAGCCTCGCTTGGGGCAGGCTCCCAGGCGGGGTCAGGGGTGTCTGCAAATTAGCGGGTATGGCAGCGATGATGCCGGGCGGGGCGGGGCCCGCTGAGCGTGCCGTGCGCTGTCCGTGGTGCTGAGTGGCTGAGCGGCTCAGGGCGAGGCAGGGAGTCTGCCCGCACCCGCCCCTTAGCAGGACCCCTGGGTCCTCCACAAGCATGTCTTGACCCCAGGCCCAGGGATCCTGGGCCCCTCGGCGGGGCCGGGAGAGACCTCCCAAGGGTGCCCCTGGGCTGCCCTCCCTTGCCTGGCGACCGCGTTCCCGGCGGGCTTGCCGTCCTGGGAGCCCAGTGAGAGGGCCCCAGGGGTCCCCGCACTCCAGCCCTGCAGACCCCCCTCCCGGCCCCTCTCCTCTCTCCGTCTCCCGCCTCCGCCTCCCTGTCTTCTGTCCTGATCTTCAGGTGTGCTTCCTGCCCTCTCCTCCGGTTCCCGGCCGCCCTCCCGGCCGCCCTCCCCTCCCCGGCCTCCCCTCGGGTCTCTCCCTCCCTCCGGCCCTGCTTCTCTCTCTCTCTCTGTCTCTCCCCGAGGCCCGTGGCTCTGTCGTGCTGCCCGGTCTCTCGTTCCCGCTGTTTCTCCTCCTGCTTGTCTGCCGGACGCGGCCCGGAGGCCCTGGTTCCCTGTCTCCAGGAGGTGGGCTGGGAGCCGGCACCCGCCTCTCTGTCCTGCCCTCGTCCCCCGTGCGCTGCTTTGGGAGGGGGTCTTCCTGGTGGGAAGGGCCACCTGTGTCCTGCGGGGGTTCGAGCGCTGGCCCAGAGTCAGGGGAGGCCCCCCCGGCTCCTTGTGCAGCACGCAGGACGCGCATACCTGTGTGTGCATGTGGGTGCACGTGCGCCTGCGTGTGAGTGTGCACGTGTGCCTGTGTGCGCGCACACATAGGTGTGGGTGCATGTGTGTGTGGGCCTGCATTCATGTGGGCAAGTGTGTGTGTGAGTGCCTGTGGGGTGGGTGCATGTGTGTTGGTACGTGTGTGTGTGCCGGTGGGTGCGGGTGTGTGCACACATGTGTGCATGTGGGTGCGGGTCAGGTGTGCGAGCCTGCGAAAGGCAGGGAGGGGCCCTGGGTCCTTCTGGGGTGACTGCTGGCTGGTGGGGAGTCAGGGAAAAGCCCTGGCTCTGGTCCCTCCTGAGCGGGCGTCCCTGTGGGGAGCCATCCAGGGGGCCTGTTCGTTCTCGTTACTTTGTTGTTTTAATTAGGGTTAGCCTAATTGGTGCCCAGAGGGCTGGAGGCCCTGGTGGGTGGGGAGAGGCCCTGGTGGGGGCCACCTGCTGCCTGGCGAAGCCCAGCGCACCCCCACAGCCCAGCTGGGGTCTCCCCTGCTTCTGAGGCCGGTCTGCAGGGTTGGGGGGGCCCCAGCCCGGCCTCCTCCCCTGCTGGCCTGTGAACGGAGCCTGGGCCTTGGGGTGGGGGCACAGCCTGGCGTGTCCTGCCTCCCTGGGCGTGCGCTGAGGGCCCGCCCTGCTGGCTGTCCTTCTGTCGGTACTCCATCCGTGTGTCTGTCTGGCTATGTGAGCCACCCCCCACACAGGTCATTTGTTAGCCGAGTCTGTGTTCGGGACTGCTTGAGTGTCTGCCGGCGCCCTGCCCGCCCCGGGCCTGGGGCTCTCCCGCTCCTGTCCAGCCCCCCACCCCCGTCCCTCTCAGCGCACGTTTACCCCTTCCTGTCTGTCTCCCGCCACCCTGCTCCACCCTGTGCTCCGCGGCTCTGGCGTGCCCTGAGGCCCCCCCGCACGTGAGAGTGCCAGGCGTCCTCTGTCCCGCAGAAAAGGGCAAGGAGGGCCAGGCGGGCGGGCCTTGTCCCTGCCAGGACCCGGGTGTGGCGATGGCCCCGGGCAACGAGGGCTGAGGAGAAGCCACCGGGCTGAGCGGGGACCCGGCGCTCACAGGCCCGGCGGCCCGTTTCGGGAGGGGCAGGCGCTCCTCAGAAGGGCGAGGGGGGTGGAGGGTGTGAGCAGGGTGGCCGGCAGGGCGGGTGGGGCCTGGACCCCGGGGTCAGGGGGCGGGGCGGCCCCTCTGCAGTGCAGGGAGACTTGCGGCCACGCAGGGCAGGAGGTGGCGGGGCTCCGGCCCCGGTGCTGCTGGCTGGTCCAGGATCCAAGGACTGGCGGGCGACTACACAGAGTCCTGGGGTGAGGGCGTGGGGTCCAGACCCCCGGAGTCCAGGCCCAGCTCTCCACGGCGGCAGGGACAGGGTGGGGGGGAGTGCAGGGTGTGCCCTGGGAGACAGAAGGGACGGTGCGCCCACCTCCCCAGCCCACCCGAGCGACCACCTGGCGTGTCCTTCCGGCACCAGCGCCACCGCCCCCTCACCCCTAACCCTAACCCCCCCCAGTTCCCTCAGAAGCCCCCGCCTCACCCTTTGGTCCAGCCGGGACAGGGCCAGGGTCCCCTCAGACTCTGGGGACGTCCTCCTGCCGGGCTAGAGCCCCAGAACCCCGGATTCCCGAGCAGCCCGACCCCGTCCTGGCCCCAGCCTGGGGCTCCCCTTCCTAGTCCTTGGGGACGGCAGAGAGACGTGTCCCAGCTCAGGCGGGGGGCCCCCAGGGGACATTTCCGACCGCACTCTTTGCTTTACTCCAAATTACACCGGAGCCTCTTTCCAGGACGTGTAATTAGAGCTGAGAGGCCTGGGCCTCCTGGGGCGGGGCGGGCTCTGCAGCCGCTCAGCGGGGCCGGTCGGGCAGACAGGCCGTGGGTGGGGGCACCGGCCGGACTGGGCCGGGTGGGGGGGACTGGGACCTCGCACCTGAGTGTGGGGTGACCCTGTCTGTGTCCAAGGGACAAGACACAGCCTGTCTCAGGGACCAGAGACTCGTGGGCGGACGCGCGGCCGCTGGAGCCACCGGGCATCCGCCCTTCCCGCGTCCCGTGACCTCGGTCCTGCCGGGGGGTCTCCCTGCCCCGTCAGGTGGGGCTTTGCCAGGGGGGCTCCCCCTGGCAAAAGCCATGGGGGCTCCCCCGTCAGGTGGGGGTTCCTTGGTTGGACCTCTCTCGTGCCCCCCGCCTGAGGCTGGAAGCAGCCCCTCCGATGACATGTGTCTGAGGCCAGGGGGCGGGGGCCGGGCTCAAACGAGGGCCCCGGAGCAGAAGAGGGAGGCTGTCGGGCCTCGTTGCTGGGGGTCTGAGTGCGGTCGGGGTCCCTGCAGGCGGTGTCCGTGGGGCGTCACTGGCGGTCCCGGAGGGCTGGCACGTGGTCGAGAACCCCACCCCTAGGGTGGGCAGGGGTCGGGCTGGGTGGAGCCACCCTGTGCCTAACCCCCAGGCGCCGCCCTGTGACCAGGCCCTGGGGTCCGGCCTGCCCGACGCCGGGTGATGGAAGCCCGGGGGGAGGTGGGCAGGGTGGAGACAGCCGGCCGGGTGGACGACCCGCTCTCTCGCCCTCGCCCCGTGTCTCCCCTGTCCCAGCGTCGCTGACACTCTCCTGCGGGGGGCCCAGAGCCACACCCGCCCGGGCACTGGCTGCAGCCCCCACCGCCCCAAGGGCCGGGCGCGCCTGGGCAGGAGGGGCCCAAACTGCTGGGCTCAGGCCTGAGCCTCTGGCCCACGGGTCACCCCAAGGCGGGCTGGGTCCGCTCCCGGCCTGCAGGGTCCCACGTGGGCGAGGAGGGGTGTGGGCGGTTGCTGGGCGGAGCGGCAGCCGGTGTGCAGGTGCTCGGGGCGCAGCCACCTGACCCGGCAGCCCCTGGGGAGCGTTGGCCCGGCTCCCCGCGTCCTGCCCACATCACAGGCCCCCCCGGGACGGGGTGCCTGGTGGGGGAGGGGGGAGGGAGGTTTCACCCGGACCCCAAGGACCTCCTGTCGTCCTCAGGGCCTGGGCTGCTTGTCCCCGAGGCAGGGTGGTCCCCGGGGCCCGGTGGGGGCCGGGCGATCTGCTCTTCACTGTTGGTCTGGGTGCCTGGGGCCTGTTCTCACTCCCACCTGAGGCCTCCGGCGCCCCAG